TCACGCTCACTAGGGCCTGGCCAGGGTCCCTGAGTTCCTGACCGTCGGGCCACCAAGGCCGTCTGCAGGGCCAGGAGAGGACCAGGAGGCACAGAGATGACTCACCCCATCGCCCCTCGTCATTCAGACCTAGACCCCAAATCCTACACCAGGCTAAGCTAACTCCCTGCCTCCCTGCCCCACCAAAGTCCAAAGTTCCGGGCCACTAGTACCTCCCTGGGGGATCCCAGGGCCATCACTTCTCCTCTTTTGGCCTCTGTTTCCCCTTCAGCGAAATGGAACCAGAGTCCCTACTTCTCAGCTCCTAAGGGTGCTGGGCGAGTAACAGGGGCCGGATACATGTAGTCTATCTGCGCTGCTCAAGTGGGGGCCAAGCCGCCTGGTGTAGGATGCAGGCCAATGGCAGATTAAGTCAACACACAGGCGAAGTCTGATGGGGGAGGGAGGGCATTTGGGCAGAGGGCACAGCTTAAGCAAAGGCCCAGAGAGCCCGACCTGTTCAGGAAACTCAAAGTCATCACTCCTGGGGAGCTGACTGCAGGCAAGCAACTGGGCAAGGCCTGTCCCTCCACACCACAGCCTCTCGTCTGTCGAGGTACTCTGTCACCAAGTGCTGGCTGGAAAGTGCCGGGGGCGCCCAGCCAGGTCCTGCCTCTCTGGGTTTGTTTCACAGGCCCAGGCCTGGTGAAGTGCAAGGTCCAGGAGCCAAGACCACTTGAACTAGAAGGTTCCCATGTGAGGAATTACTGCAAGTCCTTGCAGGAACCATCAGAGACCAGAGATTGGCAGATGAAGCTTCACCCCGGCAAGGTGGACAGACCCACCCCAGCCACATACCTCCAGTGTATTGTCGGTGTACCCCACGTGTGTCCCGAGCTTCTCCCCCCCTCCCACTTCCCGACCTTTGCTCAGGCCATACCCTCTCTGAGTCCTTCCCTTTTTCTTGCCATTAAAATTCTGCTCGGGGCGCCTGGGTGGCTCAGTCATTGAGCGTCTGCCTTCTGCTCAGGTCGTGATCCCAGGGTCCTGGGATCGAGCCCTGCATCGGGCTCCCTGCTCCGCGGGAAGCCTGCTTCCCCCTCTCCCACTCCCCCTGCTTGTGTTCCCTCTCTTGCTGTGCCTCTCTCTGTCAAATAAATAAATAAAATCTTTAAACAAATAAATAAAATAAAATAAAGTCCTGCTCATCCATCAAGGCCTGTCCTTCCCTGTGCCCCCAGCACCACCACGAGGTTCTCAGTCCTCTGCCCTTTGGGGAACTCAGCCTGTCTGTTCTGGCTGTTCTGGCTTCTGGGCCTTGTCCTCTCACCTGACTACAGATGCCCAAGGGCCAGGGTTGGCCCCGGGCTCTGCAGAGGAGGGTGGGAACCTGTCCACAGCCCATGGCCAGGGCAGGCCCAGGAGGCCCAGAGAGGCCCAGAACTGGCCCCGGGTCACCTGGCAGGGCCTTCAGATAGACCCTCTGGGTACCCCTGGAGTGAGGGCCTGGGGTTCAAGCCACACAGGCCGGCTCCACCCAGGCTGCCGGGTCTGGCCCTTTGGAGAGCACCAGGGTGGTCTTTCCAAGTGGGGATCTCTTCCTGAGCACAGGTATGGAAACAGGGCCACAAGCCCAGGGCGGCCGGCATGCTTGGCCCAGTGCAGTGTCCTGCCCGACAAAGAGGGGCCTTCGGGAAGCTCGCTCCGTCCTCCAACTTGATGGGACCTCACAGTTTGGGCTGGGGTCTCTTCCATCAGACGTCAGACCCAGCAGGACTTGCACCTGCAGGGGTGAAGGGAGCTGGGCAGGGCACTGCAGGCCGAGGGGACTGCCTCAGCAAAGGCCCGGCAATGGGTCTGCTCATTTGCATGCAGGGGCCACCAAGGCAAGAGCCGCAGCCGCCACCACGGCTGCCTGAGCGGATTTGAGCTGAAGCTCTGTTTTCCTTCTGTTCTTGTCTCTCTCTCAAGGTCAGAGCCAGAGCAGGGACAGGAACAAAGGCGTGCGTCCCCCATTCAACCTCTCTGCGCCTGCTGGCCGCTCCTAGAGGAGAGGCCCTGGGGAGGGGGGGCAGGGCCACTCCCAGGCCTGGCCCCCAGGGGGGGTGGGGGCACAGGAAGAGCGGCCCAGCTGCTCCCGGGGACTCCTGCCCTGCTGGGGGCCACTGTGGGCACCTCAGAGGCCCTGTCCCCTCCCGGGGCTGGCGGCCATCCGGCCTCCAGGCGCAGCCAGCACGGGGGGTCAGCTGGGGCCAGGGGTCATTCTGGAGTAAGCTTCCTCTGGAGTCAAGAGTCAGAGATCAGGTTCCCGCTGGGGACAGGGGTCAGTCTTGGGTTCAAGGCTCAGGCAAGGTCAGAGGTCATTCAGGGTTGGCTGTCAGCCCCAGGCCCAGATCCAGAACAGGGTCTCTGATGGGGTCTGTCCCTGTCCACCCTGGTCTTGGGGGTCTGCCCCACACTCGGGGAGGGTCTTGTCCAGGCCAGGCCCAGACTTGGCTCCTAGCCTGTGTCTAGCACCCCTGACCCCCACCACCTGCTGCCAACAGCGTGAGTCTCCGTGGCTTGGGATCAGCGTCTGCGCCCTTTCGCCTTCAAAGGCTGCAGCACCAGGGAAGAAGCTGAAACCAAGCGGGAGAAGTTTCTCAAAGAATAAATCAGACCCGGTCTGCCTTCTGCTCTGGCTCCAGCGGTCGGGGCAGGGGCAAAGAGGGGGACCCCCGTCAGAGCCAGCAGAAGAGCCCCCCTCGGTTCCTGGGAAGATGCCTCGCCTTGACCACAGCCAGGGGCCAGCAGGCCGGGCCAGTCTAAGGTGCCAGCTTCCACCTGCCCGTTTCCCAGATGGGGAACTGAGGCCGGGGTGGGGCCTGTCTTGAGCGGCAGAGCAGGTCAGCCGGGAGCCAGAGACCCGGCCCCCGTCGGAGCCCAGCACGTCTGCTGCTGGTGATAATGGTGGGGAGTCGAGGTGCCGGGAGGGGCCTGGAGGGCTCTGGCCGCGGACCTGCGCACACCCCCCCGGTGCGGGGCAGGGGCCACCGGTGTGTGTGTATGCCCATGTGCACGTGTGTCCCGTGTCACGCACCGTGCCTGGGTGGGAGTGCGGGACGTGGAGGGAGGTGGGGATGCTGGAAGCCCCCCCGCGCCGTCCTCGTGCACACCCGGGCCCTGGAGCCGGCAGGCCCCGGGCGGGGCCTTTCATCTCCAGCTGACAGGCCCCTCTCCTGGCTTTTAGCCCCGGAGAACTTCCTGCTAATAGTGCAGTAACCTTGGCAGGGGCTGCCAATCACTCGGCACTTGTGGGGGCTGTGGGTGCGCGGTGACTGCTGCCGACAGGCCAAGGGCCGGGAAGCCGGCGGGGCACCCCACCCTGCCCGACTGGGGTGGGCACGCGGAGGCCGGGCTTGGCGGGGGGACATGCAGTGTGTTCCCAGCTCCGGACGCGAGAGCGCGGGGTCTCTCCTGACCTCATTAGAGTAATTAATGTGCCTTTTGAAGCTCGGAAAATCGCTCAGAGCTGTGGGAAAGGGGCTCAGATCACAGGGCGGGAGAGCTGGGGACGGTGTCTGCATGCCTGTTAAAAGCATGTCCCAGTGGGTCTGATACAGAGAGAGACGGAGAGACAGAGGAACAGACGGAAACGAAGAGCAAGTGGAAGAGGCCGTGCAAATGGAGAGATACAGACAGGCAGGCAGGCGGAGGGTCAGAGACAAGACACACGAACACTAAAACAGAGACCCACAGCGGCAACAGACGGAGCAGGGTCTGTGACATCTCCGGGCCTCCAGGGACGCTGGCTGCGCTTCTCGGACCTTCCTGCTGGACCCTCAGTGCAAGACCCTCCCAAAGAACAGGGTGGGAGGAGCAGTCAGGGAGGACTTCCTGGAGACACCAGCTGGCCATCAGGGGAGAAAGGGGAGATGTGAGCAGACGTGGGGGGGGAGGAGGCCAAATGAGATGCCCAGGGAAGGAGACTAGGGACCAGCGCGGAAGACCCCAGCTGGAGAGGGGCGGGCCAGCCGGCCATGCTGGAGACTGCCTCTCTGCACCCGAGCAGCAGAGTGGACACGGCAGGAAGCTCAGCTGGTCTGGGAGGTGGACGGGCCCACGGGGCTGCTGGATCCCGATCGGTCCATGCCACCCTGGATGTGGGGACAAGGTGGGGCTCAGGATGAGGCATGAGAAACGGGGGCCCCAGCTGGGCCCATTTCCCGACCTGTACCATTTGGCTCTGGGGCACAGGACAGGCCACGCCTCCCCCCCCCCCCCCCCCCCGCAGGCCAGCAAGGGAAGAGGCTGGGCAGCACAAGGCTGCCACCTGGCGGCAGCGCCGCCCAATGACATGGCTGTGATGTGGCCGCCCAGCGGCCAGCCTGGGGGAGACCTCAGGCTGGGCGGCCACCGGCCAGCCCGTCCCCTCTGACTCTCTAGGATCAAACTGACAGAGGGCTGGGGGTGTCAGGCCAGAACTGGAATCTGCCCAGAAGCCGCAGCTCACGAGGGAAACCAGGCCCACAGAGAGACCCACCAAACTCCCCACCGGGGATGCTTGCACAAACACCTGACGGGGGAAGGACATGGTGGGCACGGGGGTCCTAAGGCTGCAGGGAGCTCCAGCCCCCTACACTACTGCCCCGGAGCTCCTTGGGAAACACCCCCAGAGGTGCCCGAGGTGTGAGCAAGGTCAGGCGGGGATACCGGAGGGCATGGCCCTGCAGGGGCTCCAGGTTTAACAGAGCACAGAGGACGGAGCCCTTGAACGCGGGTCTGACCTACAAACAGAGGAGTTCTCTCCGGGCCCTGACCCACTGACCAGCAAGATCTTTATCCAGGCGGTGAGGGCAGGTCTCCCCAGGTCCCCTCCCCCTGGGTGACTCATCAGTGGGCCCCCGAGACAGCTAGGTACAAGTCCAAAGAAGCCCCGCTTGGTCACAGACACGAGCACTGAGTCCCAAATGGAGCCCTGCCCCCACCGCCTGTGCACCGGCGTCCAGGGCTGGGCCCCGTGTGGAGGACAGCGCCACACACACCTCCACGGCTGCCTTTATTGTCCCCAGCCCAGACAGGTCCCTCAGCCCGCCCCGCCACCCACCAGGCTTTAGCTCAGCCGCCTCATCCCCACAGAGCAGGCTGAGTGCGGGGGTGCCAGTCCCGCCCTTCGCCGAGGCCTGCGGGAGGCTCTCGGGGCCTCTGGTTTCTGCCCAGCATCCTGCACAGTCCTGTCTGGGTCAAGGGCCGAGGCGGCGTCGGGCTGAGGAGCAAGCGAGGCAGGAGCCACGGGAGCTCTCAAAGTCAAAGCCGGAAGGGGGACCAGTGAGTGCATTGGGAGGTGGATGGGCCCACGGGGCTGCCGGATCCCGATCGGTCCATGGGAGTGGGTTCTGTCTCTTGTCCTCTTCCCGGGGCTTCTGGAAACGCCGCCTTCCTGACCTGAGCATCTGGAGGGGAAGGGCAGGGGGTGAGACCCCGTGTGCCTGGGGTCCACCCTGTAAGTGACGAGCAGAGGCCTCACCTGTCCAGGCCCTCCACGGTGGTCCACCAAGGCCCACCTCCCCCAGCTGCTGGGCCCTACCAGACGGCCCACCTGAGGAGGAGAGGTCCCCCAGCCAGAGGGGATCCCAGACCCCACCAATAGCTCCCCTAGGGGCCTGGAAAATCACAACTGTCCCCTGGCCTCTCGGCCTCGTGTCCACACCCCTCGCCCCCAACACACTCATGCGGGGTTGGACAGGCCTTCACTCCTGCTCCGGCCCTGTTGTGGGCTCTGTGCCCAGTGGCCCCCGATACTCCTCCGGGGGCTGGGGCCACAGAGGCCATCCCCAGTGACGAGACAAGAGCCCCTGGAACTCGAGGGGGGGCTGCACTACCATCTCAGAGTCCGTGTCTCAAAGACGATCTCCTCATCGCTGTCCAGCGATACCATCTCCGTAGGGTCGTCGGTGTTGGCCAGAAGGCCATACCTCCTCCGCTGCGGCTTCTTCAACCTGCAAGCAGGGAAGGCAAGCTCAGTGGCCACACGGGGGTGCGTCCGGGAGTGGGGGTGCCTCACACCCTGTCCTGCTTCCCACCTTCCCTATGACCAGCCTCCTCGGCCAGACCCTCCTCAAAGCCTTGCTACCAAGCTTCCTAGTCTGTGTGTTTCTTTTGTGTCCTAACAACCAGTGACTCTTCATGGCTCTGATGGTCCTCATGGCTCAGGCAGAAGCCCTGCTTCCGACCCCCGGCCAGGGGCAGGGAAGGGAGAAGCCCCACTCCCGACCCCCGGCCAGGAGCAGGAAGGGAGAAGCCCCGCTCCTGACCCTCTGCCAGGGGCAAGGAAGGGAGAAGCCCCGCTCCCGACCCCCGGCCAGGAGCAGGAAGGGAGAAGCCCCGCTCCTGACCCTCTGCCAGGGGCAAGGAAGGGAGAAGCCCCGCTCCCGACCCCCGGCCAGGGGCAGGGAAGGGAGAAGTCCGGTTCCTGACCCTCTGCCAGGGGCGGCTCAGGTAGAAGCCCTGCTCCCGAACCCCAGCCAGGAGCAGGGAAGGGAGAAGCCCCTCTCCCGACCCCCGGCCAGAGGCAGGGAAGGGAGAAGCCCGGTTCCTGACCCTCTGCCAGGGGCGGCTCAGGTAGAAGCCTTGCTCCAGAACCCCAGCCAGGAGCAGGGAAGGGAGAAGCCCCTCTCCCGACCCCCGGCCAGGGGCAAGGAACGGAAAAGCCCCGCTCCTGACCCCCAGCCAGGGGCAAGGAAGGTAGAAGCCCCTCTCCCGACCCCCGGCCAGGGGCAGGGAAGGAAGAAGCCCCTCTCCCGACCCCCGGCCAGGGGCAAGGAACGGAGAAGCCCCGCTCCTGACCCCCGGCCAGGGGCAGGGAAGGGAGAAGCCCCGCTCCCGACCCCCGGCCAGGAGCAGGAAGGGAGAAGCCCCGCTCCCGACCCTCTGCCAGGGGCAAGGAAGGGAGAAGCCCTGCTCCCGACCCCCGGCCAGGGGCAGGGAAGGGAGAAGTCCGGTTCCTGACCCTCTGCCAGGGGCGGCTCAGGTAGAAGCCCTGCTCCCGAACCCCAGCCAGGAGCAGGGAACGGAGAAGCCCCGCTCCTGACCCCCAGCCAGGGGCAAGGAAGGTAGAAGCCCCGCTCCCGACCCCCGGCCAGGGGCAGGGAAGGGAGAAGCCCCTCTCCCGACCCCGGCCAGGAGCAGGGAAGGGAGAAGCCCCGCTCCTGACCCTCTGCCAGGGGTGGCTCAGGTAGAAGCCCCCGCTCCTGACCCCCGGCCAGGAGCAAGGAAGGTAGAAGCCCCGCTCCCGACCCCGGCCAGGAGCAGGGAAGGGAGAAGCCCCGCTCCTGACCCTCTGCCAGGGGCAAGGAAGGGAGAAGCCCCGCTCCTGACCCCCGGCCAGGGGCAGGGAAGGAAGAAGCCCCGCTCCCGACCCCGGCCAGGAGCAGGGAAGGGAGAAGCCCCGCTCCTGACCCTCTGCCAGGGGCAGGGAAGGGAGAAGCCCCGCTCCCGACCCCCGGCCAGGAGCAGGAAGGGAGAAGCCCCGCTCCTGATCCTCTGCCAGGGGCAAGGAAAGGAGAAGCCCCACTCCCGACCCCCGGCCAGGGGGAGGGAAGGGAGAAGCCCCGCTCCCGACCCCCGGCCAGGGGCAGGGAAGGGAGAAGCCCCGCTCCCGACCCCCGGCCAGGGGCAGGGAAGGGAGAAGCCCCGCTCCCGACCCCCGGCCAGGGGCAGGGAAGGGAGAAGCCCCGCTCCCGACCCCCGGCCAGGGGCAGGGAAGGGAGAAGCCCCGCTCCTGACCCTCTGCCAGGAGCAAGGAAGGGAGAAGCCCCGCTCCCGACCCCCGGCCAGGGGCAAGGAACGGAAAAGCCCCGCTCCTGACCCCCAGCCAGGGGCAAGGAAGGTAGAAGCCCCTCTCCCGACCCCCGGCCAGGGGCAGGGAAGGAAGAAGCCCCTCTCCCGACCCCCGGCCAGGGGCAAGGAACGGAGAAGCCCCGCTCCTGACCCCCAGCCAGGGGCAAGGAAGGTAGAAGCCCCTCTCCCGACCCCCGGCCAGGGGCAGGGAAGGAAGAAGCCCCTCTCCCGACCCCCGGCCAGGGGCAAGGAACGGAGAAGCCCCGCTCCTGACCCCCGGCCAGGAGCAGGAAGGGAGAAGCCCCGCTCCCGACCCTCTGCCAGGGGCAAGGAAGGGAGAAGCCCCACTCCCGACCCCCGGCCAGGAGCAGGGAAGGGAGAAGCCCTGCTCCCGACCCCCGGCCAGGAGCAGGAAGGGAGAAGCCCCGCTCCCGACCCTCTGCCAGGGGCAAGGAAGGGAGAAGCCCCACTCCCGACCCCCGGCCAGGAGCAGGGAAGGGAGAAGCCCTGCTCCCGACCCCCGGCCAGGAGCAGGAAGGGAGAAGCCCCGCTCCCGACCCTCTGCCAGGGGCAAGGAAGGGAGAAGCCCCGCTCCCGACCCCCGGCCAGGGGCAGGGAAGGGAGAAGTCCGGTTCCTGACCCTCTGCCAGGGGCGGCTCAGGTAGAAGCCCTGCTCCCGAACCCCAGCCAGGAGCAGGGAACGGAGAAGCCCCGCTCCTGACCCCCAGCCAGGGGCAAGGAAGGTAGAAGCCCCGCTCCCGACCCCCGGCCAGGGGCAGGGAAGGGAGAAGCCCCTCTCCCGACCCCGGCCAGGAGCAGGGAAGGGAGAAGCCCCGCTCCTGACCCTCTGCCAGGGGTGGCTCAGGAAGAAGCCCCGCTCCTGACCCCCGGCCAGGAGCAAGGAAGGTAGAAGCCCCGCTCCCGACCCCGGCCAGGAGCAGGGAAGGGAGAAGCCCCGCTCCTGACCCTCTGCCAGGGGCAGGGAAGGGAGAAGCCCCGCTCCTGACCCCCGGCCAGGGGCAGGGAAGGAAGAAGCCCCGCTCCCGACCCCGGCCAGGAGCAGGGAAGGGAGAAGCCCCGCTCCTGATCCTCTGCCAGGGGCAAGGAAAGGAGAAGCCCCACTCCCGACCCCCGGCCAGGAGCAGGGAAGGGAGAAGCCCCGCTCCCGACCCCCGGCCAGGGGCAGGGAAGGGAGAAGCCCCGCTCCCGACCCCCGGCCAGGGGCAGGGAAGGGAGAAGCCCCGCTCCCGACCCTCTGCCAGGAGCAAGGAAGGGAGAAGCCCCGCTCCCGACCCCCGGCCAGGGGCAGGGAAGGGAGAAGCCCCGCTCCCGACCCCCGGCCAGGGGCAGGGAAGGGAGAAGCCCCGCTCCCGACCCCCGGCCAGGGGCAGGGAAGGGAGAAGCCCCGCTCCCGACCCCCGGCCAGGGGCAGGGAAGGGAGAAGCCCCGCTCCTGACCCTCTGCCAGGAGCAAGGAAGGGAGAAGCCCCGCTCCCGACCCCCGGCCAGGAGCAGGGAAGGGAGAAGCCCTGCTCCCGACCCCCGGCCAGGAGCAGGAAGGGAGAAGCCCCGCTCCCGACCCCCGGCCAGGGGCAGGGAAGGGAAAAGCCCCGCTCCTGACCCTCTGCCAGGAGCAAGGAAGGGAGAAGCCCCGCTCCCGACCCCCGGCCAGGGGCAGGGAAGGAAGAAGCCCCGCTCCCGACCCCCGGCCAGGGGCAGGGAAGGGAAAAGCCCCGCTCCTGACCCTCTGCCAGGGGCAAGGAAAGGAGAAGCCCCGCTCCCGACCCCCGGCCAGGGGCAGGGAAGGGAGAAGCCCCGCTGACGCGTCCAGAGCAGCGAGCGCTGGGCGCGCGGTCACCGGAGCACCGGGAGGGGCCGTGGGAGTGTCTGGGCACGCTCTCGGCGCCGCGCGCAAAGGCCCCCCCGGAGGACGGCCCGGCGGGAACGTGCCTGCGGAGGGTCCACCGGCCGACCCGAGCAGCCGAGCGCGGCCTGCGCGGCCGGCCGCAGGCGACCAGGGAAGCGGAGCAGGCGGCGGCGGGTCTCGGCTGCTCCTGTCGCCGCCGCGCAGGCAGCCGCAGTTGGGCGGGGACCGGCCGCGGCGGGCGGAAGCTCGCGGGAGGCCGCGCCCCGGCGACCGCCCCGCCCCGGCGACCGCCCCGCCCCGGCGACCGCCCCGCCCCGGCGACCGCCCCGCCCACGTGACCGCCGCGTCGCGCCGGGGGCGGGGCTTCGCGCCGACACGTGAGGCGCCCGGCGCACGACGACTGGCCGCTCCCGGACGGCGGGGCGGCGCGCGCCGGACGCACCTGAACGCCCGGATGAGGAAGTAGAGCGCGGCCAGGCCGCTGAGGCCCGTGAGCACGTAGAAGGAACGCAGCAGCTGCGCGCCCGGCGAGCCCGGCGGCCGCGAGTACGTGCTGTTGTGCGGCGAGCCCGGCTGGCTCCCGTTCGTCACGGCCGGCGTTGGCGACAGCGTGGTCTGCGAGGCGCGCGGCGGCGGGGGCACGGCCTCCTCGGCTCCGCACAGCAGCGCCCACAGCAGCAGCAGCGCCCGCAACAGCAGCAGCAGGAGCGGCGGCGGCGGCACGCGCGGCCCCATGGCCCGGCGGAAGCGCTGGCTGCGCCCCGCCCCGCGAGGTGTCACTCACTGGCGCGGGGGCGGCCTCAGCCAACGGCCTGCGGGGGCGGGGCCTGGCGCCGGCAGACGCCCCGCCCCCCGCGCATCCCCGGGCGCTCCTGGGCGGGGCCCCTGCGCCCGGCCGGCTGCGCGCGCACCTGGGGCTTCCCGCCCCGCCCGAGCCCGACTGCCACACGGAAGCGCCTCCTCCGGGGGAAGGCGACTCCCGGATCACGCGGTGGGGGCCAAGACCAGCGCCCGCAAGACCGCCTGGCGCAGTGCTCTCCAGACGCCCCGTCCCTGCCAGGGCCCCGGAGACTGCAGCTGTTCTCACCCCGGGGGGGGGGGGGGGCGCCGAGGGGGAGGGGATCTTGCTCTGGGCAGGGGGCCGCCCCCCACCCGTGGGAGGACTGCAGACTGCACTCACTGGGCTCTGGGCTCCCTGCCACCATCCTCCCCACCCTACTGGGAGTTGAGGTGAGCAGCGCAACCGAGGGTTAGCCCCAATGCCCTGCACGCCAAGACCGGGGCAGGAGGCAACCAGCCCAGGAAGCAAGCGCGGCCCTGCAGGCAACACAAGATGGGAGGCTCCAGGGCTCACTCTACCAAGACCCTGGGGGAGAGGTGCCCGACTCAGATGAGGGGGCCCAGGGAGCACCACTACTGGGCGGCCTGACTGCCCCTCAGAACCTGCGAGAACTGCCCGAGACAACCAAGTGACCAGGTGGTCTTTCTGGCTTGGGCCCTGAACAAAGGCCAGGAGAGGGTTTCTCTGGCACAATCCCTCCCCACTCAGGCCCCACGGCGGCACTGCAAGCCAAACTCAGATTTCTGTGTGGACACACCAGTCCTTTATTCAAATCCGACGTCCACGTCCCGCTGCTGACAGTGAGTACTAGTTGTGGTGCAAGCTGCCACAGAGCTGGTCCTCCCGGAGCAACGTGAACCCTGGCACCTCAACTCCCCAGTGATGCACCTGCTGGAAAACAAGCAGCAGGGGAGATAAAGAGGGGTCCAGCGGGAAGCCCACAGGACACTGCCCCGCTGGAGTCACAGGGGGGCAGGAGACCAGGAAAGGAGAACCCACTGGATGGGCCAGGCACAGCCAGGGCCAAAGGGCCTCAAATCACCCACCCCAAAATAGCACTTACAGGTAACATGGTGTGAGGCCAGGTAGCCATGCCTCTGGCTCTTGCTTCCAGGTGAAGGCCCTCCTGGGACAGTGACCCCAGGTCATCGCTGCTCTCTGGCCACCTTTCCAAGTCACACTGGCTTCCCTTCAACCTGCCAAAGCAAAGAAGCGTTATGCCCAGCGTCCCGGCCACAGCTGGTATCTGCCCCACCCCACCCCCGAAACCATCCACGGCTCCTACTAGGAGGGTCTCAAGCTAGTTATCGGGGCCATGCCGGCAGAGGCCCCGTCACAGGCCGGCGTGCCCAGGGTGGGCCTGCGCCTTTCAGATGGGCCAGGCCACGTTCCACCCTTAAGCAGAGCCAGCTACCCAACTGGGATGGAGCTGCTTAGAGAACAGTGTGGGGCTCTGGGAAAAACTCATGGCGGCAACAGACATCAGAGAAAGCTAGTTAGGAGCCTGAGGTAAGGAGGTCTGGAAAAGACGGTCAACTGATGAACAAAAATTCGGTGGTCTCCAATCCTGCTTATGGATCGAACCTACTCTTGAGGTATGACTGCCCGGGCCGCTCGCCTGGCTGCAGGCGGGGAAGGGCCAACGGCCGAGGTCTGATTTTGGTGCTAACTTAATTAAAAAAAAAAGAAAAAAAAAGAAAAAACAGTCAAAAGAACATTCCCCAGGTACATAACTTTTACTTTCAAATGAGCTCTCGACAAGAGGAGGGATGCGGACACGAGCAAAAGGAGTTACCTCGAATTACAGGGCTATTTCCACATATGAGCTAGCCAAGGGAGCAGCTTGCGTCTCAGAGGTTTCTGTTGGGCGCACAACACTTCTGTCCTCCGAGGGGCTGCAGCTTCCATAGGCTAGCGGTGAAAGCTCAGAACTTGTAAAGCAACAGCAGAGCCAGCCAACAAGCCGGTCAGTCTGTGGTCGCCCAGGGATGCTGCCTGCCGTCCACTCTCTGGCCTACCTCTAAACTAAGGCGGTCCGGGTTGGCGTCATGTGCCCGAGCGTCCACCGTCCCTGCTAAGCTGCCCACCCATCACCCACCTTCTCACCTAAACCGGGACCAATGGCAGTCAGCTGTCACAAGGGGCCCCGGCAAGCCTTCCCTGTCTGGCTCTCCAAGGGCCTCAAACTGCTCTCTGCTCAGTTCCAACTGCCTCGAACCGGTAGCAGGGAGTGTGTTGTGCAATGAAGGGAAATTGTCAGAGCAAGGTTCATTTCAGACGGTCTTTTAATCGGCTTCGTGAAGCCAAAGAAAACTGCGTACAAGAATTCCTTAACCACTTCAAATACAACATCAAGGGGATATGCATACGTCTTCCAGTAAAAAAGGACAATATAAATAAACATTTTCAAGAACCTCTCGAGGGAACGTCTGCAAGTCTACTGTGGGTCATACATAGCACAGAAGGGCCGGACAGGCCAGGCCCAGGGCAGCCAGAGTACCTCTGCTACTGCCGCAGGATGGGTCCTACCAGCCACACTCAGAAACGTTACACAGAGTTGGAAAAAAGCCACAGCTTGCTCAGCTTCCGACAAAAAAGCGGATTCAGAGTCCGTTCAATCTTAAGAGAAGGGAATCGGGGCACCCAACTTCACGGGCCTGACCCCACTAAAAAGAGAAACAAAAAAGGCAACACAACCAAAACCAAAACCCACACAACCCCCAATGATTTCCTAAAAAACTTATGGCTCGTGGTAAAAAGAAAAAAAAAATCTGAAGTGCTTTTCAAAACGTTTTTAAAACCCTTAAAAACGGACAGCGCTTCCTTAAAAAGAAAAGTCTAGCAATGAGGCCATCTGGGGGTCAGAAGCAGTCAGGCTGTGTTTGACAAGATCAGAACGGATAAGACTACAAAAGTGGGGTACAAGGAGGTGTGTTCACTACACATTAACGATTCAGCGAAGCTCCCAAAATCTTTAAATATACAGCCATTGGAAGGACGATCTTGAGCAGGAAGGATTTTTACTCGTTGTGTGTAGCTGAGAACAAGAAGCAGGTACAGTGTAAAGGCACTGAAGCACGCGACAAGATGCAGCATTCCACTCCCGGGTCCAGACCTGGAGGGCTCGGCCCTGCAGCCTCGGGAGTCACCAACCCCCCCCACAGCTGAGGGCAGGGCGGCAGGGCCAGGCGGCCGGGCCAGGCGGCCGCACATGCACTGATGCTGCCTGCTCGGGGGGCCCTCACTCTCCCTTTCCTTCTTAGTCAGTCTGCTTCTGCCTTTACGTTTTGGAGTAGAAATGGCTGCTGGCACAGAGACCGAGAGGGCAGTCTTGTCCCTTATGGGCAAGCACGGTGACAAAGTCTGAGTGTCGCTCGCAGAGGGCACCAAGCCTTACTGAGCTCCCACCGCAGGCCCCGGCAGCGTGGTGCCCTTGGAGTGTGGCTTACCATAACTGTCGTAGCTGTCTCTGTAGGACCCGCCCGAGCTCCGGTCACCATAGCCGCCACCTTGACTCCGGCTGCAAGAAAGACACTTCAGGCTACTCATGCCATCTGCAGCAGCGCTGCGCTGCCCTGCCCTGCGCCAGCATCCGGAGAGAAGCCTCCCACACACCCCGGGCAAGACCGCAGCCGTCACCTGCTGTAGTAGTCTCTGGAGCCTCCATAACCCCCACTCCTGGACTCGAACCGGCTCCCCCCGTAGCCTCGGTCCCCTCCTCCTGCAGACAGGGACGAGAAGAGCTGAGCACCATCGCCTACCAGCAGTGTCCCCGCTGTGTTCCCGACGGCCTCGGGCCCTGAGCGTAGCACTTACCTCTGGAGAACCCACGGCCCCGGCCTCGGCCCCCTCGGAAGAAGCCCCGGCCCCCAGCGGAGCCACCTCGATACCCACGGGATCGGTTGTCAGATGACTTGCCAGCCTGGTCTACTCGGATCTGTCGCCCGTCCACAGACTGGAAACCAGAGATTTGCACAGGTTAGCCTCTGTGCTTCCCCCCTTCTCTGCAAACCCGGACTCCTGCACCCCCAGAGGAGCAGCCCCTCACCTTCCCGTTCATGGCCATCATGGCGTCCTTGGCATCGTCAATGTTCTCGAAGGTGACGAACCCAAAGCCTCGCGATCGCTGGGTCTCCCTGTCTTTCACGACAACCACTGTGCAGAAGAGATCTGGAGTCGGCCCCGGCCCTCCCCACAGGCAGCCCTGCTCGGCCACCAGCCCAGCTCCAGCCTCACCTTCAGAGATCTGTCCGTATTTTGAGAAGACCTGCTCCAGCGACTGCTCGTTGGTATCAAAGCTCAGCCCTCCGACGAAAAGCTTGCCTTCGTCCGATGCCATGGTGGCCTGTGGCAAACGCTGTTGGGGTCCTCACTGAGGTCGTCCAGGGGCTTCACCGCACCCCCTTCATACAAACGACACTGACTTGTGGGGTGAACGCTGCAACGCCCTGTCTGCCCACCTCCAGGCCACCCTGGGACGGCGAAGTTCGAGCAGGCCCTCCACCCCCTGCCCTACTCCGTGCAGAGCCCGACCCCAGGCTGGGCGCGCTGGGGCCGCACCCCGGCTCCGCAGCGCTCCTCAGGGCTGCCCCGGCCGTGGGACCCCCCAGCGTCGGCCAGGCTGGACACCCAACCCAAGGAAGGCGTCGGCCTCCATCGTGGTTCCCCCTCCGTGAGCAGGAGCCGAACTCCCAGCCTGACCAGCGGGGCGGGGAGGGGCAAAGTGCTTGGTCCACTGTGGGGCGCCTGGGAGGGGCGCGGGGCGGGGGGGCGGGGCCGCCACGTGCAGCCTGACGTGTGGGGCGATGCCAACTTAGGCCGACTCTTTACGGGCTGGGAGAAGCCCCGCCACCTAGCTCCGGAAACACAGGCCAGAACGCGCGGCGGACCGCGCCTCTCGGACCCTGGCTCGGGGACCTCGGAGGACGCCGGAACTGCGCCGCCCTCGCGCGACGCCAGCGGGAGGCCGGGAGCGGCGGCCCGGGCCACGCAGCGGGGCCCCGCCCACCGCCGCGCGCATGCGCCCCGCGCACGCCCTGCGCCACTCCATCCGGGCACCCGGCGCTCCCGCCATTTCGCTGGGCGCAGCCTCGCGCTCGCGGCCGCCATTTTGCGGTGGCGTCCCGCTCGCGGAGGGCCAGGCCCGAGGGGAAGACGCCCTCCGGCCACAGCTTGGCCCGGTGTCCCGCTGCCCATCGCCGCCGGCGGGGCGGACTCCACCCCGGGCCCGCCCCGGCGCCGCCCCCGCCCAGGGGCGTGCCGCCGCCGTCCCGCCTCCTCCGGCCGGCCGTAGGCCGCTCGCCGCCCCGGGCCCGTGGAGCCGGCGCCGCCAGGGCCCTCACCACTGAGTCGGGAAGGTCCCCTGACGCAGGCGGGAACAAGGCGCAGCACAACGAGCCAAGCCTCCTAACGCGCAAGTGAGGGGGGGGACGCCGAGCGCCCGGCCTTAAGTACGCCGCCGCGGGTCCCCGCCCCTCACCCCGCGCCAGCCAATCCGGGGGCTCGGGAGCCGCAGCCGCACCTCATATTCATGAGGCGGGGGCTGGGCCGGCCCCGGCCCCGCCCCCTCCCGTGCGCGCGGGCTCCGGGCGCGATAATTGGCGAGGACGCGCCTCGTCCGCAGTCCCCCGCCCGCGGCCCGGAGGCGGGGCCGGCGCGCGGCGGGGCGGGGCTGACCCACTTCCGCGTGCCCGCCCCCACCCCACTTCCCGGCCTGTGGCGGGGAACAAAGGGGCCTCTGGAAGCCGAGGGCCCAAACTTCCAGGGGATCTCCTGGTGTGGCTCGAACTCAGGACTTGTGCTCTGCTCCAGCAATCGCCGCCAGTGCAACCTTAGCCAAGTCCCCGCCCCACCGGAGCCCCAGCTGTCAGTTCACCTGAACCCTGACGTCATTCTCATACACTTGTCAACGTAACCGACACCCTGGTACTCCCAGGACCCCACGCTCCTGAATACATCACTTCATGTAGTCGGCCCCAAGGCCCACCCAAACCCCAAGACTGAGGAAGCCCCACGTGTATGGATGGATCCCAATATTCTCCAAGATCCCATTTCCTCCTACTTCTGAACTTTGGGGCACCCCAGTTTCACACAACCTGCTTTGATCTGCTTGGTGTGGTGCCCACACCCCCATACTCACCTAGACAGACCCTTCCGTGCATTCCAGCTCTAGACTGCAGACTGACCCCAACCTGGGCACCCAACCCCACCACTGGGGCCAGCACTGCACCCCAACATTGGTCTCAACCCTTGGCCTCCCCTCCAGCATGTGCTCTGGCCTGGCCTCCTGCTAGCACATAGTTCTGCATACCAAGAACAGACTCATTACCCATGGTGGGGTGAGCAATGCTCTGCTCCTCCCCCTGTGCTTTTTCCTGTCTGGGGGTTCCAAGAGCTCTGCTATCTGGAGAACCAGCTTTGCAGGAACCGTCACCAGCAAGATTGCTCCTGGGGAGTCCCAAGACCACTTTATGGGAGTCCCTTTGTGGCCACCATTTGCCCCCTGTGCAGGCTTTGGCTTATGTTGTCTCTGGTGACCCTGGACCCCTCCATGGGGTGGACAAAACTAGCGCAGAACCCTGCCTGCCCAAGCCCTGCTCTAGAAAATCTTCAGAGGGTAGACCCTCTGCAGAAGAGTTGGGGGTATTTGGGAACAGAGCCCCCCACTTTGTTGCCCACCGCAGAGAAGTCCCAGCCGCACTCCAGGCCTCAGGCTTGCTCCCACCCTCAGGCAAGGACATGGTCTCCTGTGACAAGATCACGGGGACCCTCCTCAGTTCAGGAGCCCCTTCCCGCAGAGCAGCTCATGACTCATCTCTTTGCCACCCCCACTGCACCTCCCTGCCCCGCTGCCCCATGCCACAGCCCTCCCTTACGACTGACTCCCCGTCAGAGGCAGCCTGCTGCTGCGTCAGCCTCTCACGCAGGGTGGTTATTAAAAGGAGCAAAAAGAGACATCAGCTCTCAGCTCCCTTCGCCTCCCAGCCAGCATGGGGGCGGGGCCCAGGTATGCCCAGCCCAGGAGCAATTCCCCGCCGCCACCCTTTCTGATGTGCTCCCCTAGCAAAGTTAGGTCAACGGCTCCTGGCTCCAGCCCAAGCCGGGTGTCCCTGCAGCCGCGGTGGCCCCGAATCATTCTCTGCCCCTAGGCCCCCGCCCCCACTGTTCTGTAGTTCTGAGTCGGCCTTCTCCTGGTTTTGTGAAGCGCTCTGTTCATTCATTCATTCATTCCGCCAGCACACAGTTATTAAACGTTTACTACGAGCCCGTTGCTGGGTACCGGTCTCCATGTATACCCACGACTGTCCTGGGTTCCCAGCACAGAAAGGACCCATACCTGGGGACACCTGTTGCCAGGTGCGCCTGCTCTGGGCATTGTATGGAAACTGTGTGCTTGCGTCTCAGGTGTGCTGCCTGTCTCCGTCCCTGTGTCCGTGGTTTCCCGCATCTGCGTGTCCGTGTTGGCGGCGCTCAGGGGTCTGGGACCGCCTTCATCGCTGTCGCGACGGCTGCGCCACCCTCTCCCCATGGACACGAGGGGGCGCTGCAGCCTCGCTGTCACCCCAGCCGGGGGCTCCGGGTCCCGCCGCAAGCTCCAGCGTGGGATGGGGTCCTCGTCCCGCCCACAGGCCTGGCCCCTCGCCTCTGCCAGTGCGCTGGGAGGGGTGGGTGGCGGGGGTGGAAGGATGGGGCTCAAAATAGCCGCGGGCACGGGAGAGGCTGCTATTCGCGGCCTGGCCGCGCAGTGCTCGCCGCCTGCCCGGCGGGACGGGGATTAGGCCGGGAGGTCCCCGTCGGCGCATCTACAAATCGCCCCTCCGCGGGCGGCCGCCGCGGAGGGGGCGCCCGCCTCCAGGACCACTTCTCCCACCGCGGTCCAACCCCTCCCCGTCTGGGCGCCCCACCCGCGGGCGTCGCCGTGGAGACGAGGGCGGGGCCACCTCGCTCCCGCGGCGCCCCCTCCGCCTTCCCGCCGGGCCGGGCCTCTGGACGCCGGGTCCTCCCCCGACCCTGGCTAATGACCGGGCGGGAGGCGGTAATGAGCGTCTGGGTCCCGGACGGGCGTTGGCCGGGATGAAAGGCGCGTGGGGGGGGGGGGGGGGACCCTCAGGCCGCGTAATTATCGCCCCCTCCCGGTCGGCCAGGCGGGGGCCGGGACCGTGCACCTGGCGGCCTCCCGGCGGGGGCGCACAAGTGGGACCGTCCTGGCAGATACTCGCCGGCTCGCCTGGCCCAAAGCCGCAGGGCTCAGAGCCAGGGTGGGGGAAGCGGAGACTGGATGAGTGTGCGCGTTGCCAGGTGTGGTGCCCATGTGTGCCGGTGAGCTGGGGAGTCGTGGGTAAACAGAGACACAAGGATGGCTAGGGACTGTGCCTGTGTGGACGGGAAAGTGGGGGCTGTGTGCGCGCGCGGATACGGAAGTGTGTGCGTGGTGCTCCGTGCGCAAGAACACAAGGGGGTTGTACACGGACTCCAGAACGTGTGCATAAGGGATATGGATGTGGGATCAGTCACGGACAGGTCTGCGTGTGTGTGCCTCGGGGGACAGGACTCACAGAGCATATGTGCCCGTGGTTGGTGGCGTGACTCGTGCCCCCGGGCTGGGCAGAAGTGCTATGTGTCAGCGGTGGCCAGGGTCTCCTAGGGCAGAGGACAGCTACAGGAGGCCAGAAGCCCTGCGGAGGAAGAGTTAAACTGCCCTCCCCCAGTTCCTACCTGCATGAGGAGGTGGGGGCCCTCCGAGGTCTCTAGGAGGCCCCAGGTGGCTACCAACTGTGAACACAGGAAACTCAGCTGTTTGCCACCCTGGGGAGCTGGAAGAGGTTGCCCCTGGCCTCGGTTTCCCGCCTGTTCCTAGGAAGGGTCTCCGTAGTGGAGAATGTGCAGGACAGGGGCTGGGGGCACCTCGTGGAGCCCCCTGTGAGTCAAGGCCCAGGAATGTGGAGGCCGCCACTCTTCTGTTCCTGCCCAGGCTCCCATCCCAGGATTGCAAAGGCCAGGCAAGGCACGGTTTGTGTTGGTGAGCACAGATTATGGGGCGGGACCCAGGGACACACAGAGATACACCTGTTGTGTATTTGCAGCCCACGTGTGAAAGGGCGAGACCTGTGGACGTCACACGCCTGCACGTTTGCTCTTTCTGTACTCGCAATGCTCCGCAGACCCAGATGGTGACCCCTTCCTTTCTACGGAGGGAAATGGAGGCACGTGTGTGGCAGGAAGCGCACAGATGGACAAGCACACATCAAGTACAGCAAACGTATACCAGATGTCTGTGGAACGCCAGAGCTTGGGCATTCACAAAGACCCCTGTGTGCTCACGAAAACCCCAAGGCTTGCCTTGGTGGGGGCGGGGGACACAACCCACTGGATTTTGAGACTGCGGAAGGGCTGAGGTTCACACCTCCCCACCCCTGGGGGTAGGAGGAGCTGCCCCCCACCAGTGTCCTATCCACTCACTTGACCTTGGCCCCACACTCAAGATGTCACCTACACACGGCTCCCTGCGGGCACAAGGAGGGGCTTGTGGTATCTCCATGGCAACACTGGAGTGGCCAGAACGGAGAGTGCCCCCCTCCTGTGGCAGTTGCCGGGGGCTCAGAGAAGACAGCTAAGCTGCCGTGGCCCTGGGCGGCCAGCACGAGTGCACATCCCAGCCCCATGTGTCCATGCAACAAGTGTTGGCGTCCCACAACTGTCTGGCTCTTCCTTGAAAGTCGGGGATGGCCGGGTGCCTAGCTGTGCAGGCTGCTGTTGCCAGGCCCCCCTCTGGGCCTCAGCTGCCCATCTGAGCAGTGGGTGCAGCAGCAGGGATTCCTGGGGTCAGTGTGGGTGAACGAAGGGCTGCCAGCCAAGGACAAGAGCCCACCACGGGGCACTTGGGGTTCTCTGCTTTTTCTTCTATTGCAGGACACACAGAAAATGGTCTGATGCTCACGCCCCCTTCTTCCAGGTCCCAACAGGGATGGAGAGAGTGAGTGCACGCACCCCCCGCCTGTCCCCAACCCGCATCAGCAGGTGTCTGCTCCTCCGGTGGGCCTAAAGCCACGGAGGGTAAGTGGGCAACGTGTGGCTGGAGCGATGGGTTGTTTGGGGGAGGGTGCTGCTGTGGGTGACAAGTCTCTGAGGATCTCAGTGCCTGCCCCTGCTGGGTGTGACTTTCAATTCTGTGGTTTTCTTAAGGGAGGTCTTGGTCCAGGGTGAGAATGGGGGTGCCCCTGTTTTGAGAACCATAGTGTTGACTGAGGTTGTGCCGGCACCAAAGTGTGAGCTGCGGCCAGTGCGTGCGTGCGTGTGTGTGTGGGGGGGGGGGTTGCAGAGCCAGGAGCCTGCATTCAGGCGGGGATCGGTGTCTACCCCTTAACTGTTGAGGGGTGCACTTCCCCTGAGCGCGGGCGGGGGGGCGGCCTGGCCGGTCTGGCGGCTGCAAGGGGCCCTGCGTGGGCTCTCTCGGAGGCCCGTGGGCAGCGTCTGGGGGGTGGGGCGCGTGCAGTACGGTTGTACGCAGCTGTCTGGAGCCCCAGCTCCCCCTGCCTGCCGGTGACGGCCTCCCCTCGCGGGCGGCCCCGCCCACATTCCAGAGGAGTTAGGGGGTGCCCCCCACAGCCCCTGCCCACTCCCCAACCTCTGACCCAGCCTGAGCCCACTCCCTCCGTCCTGGGCACCCAGTGCTGCAGCAGCTGGTTCCAGGGAGGGGCAGCCGGGCGGGGGTGGAGGCTGGAATGTGTGCCGGGGGTGAGGGAGGGCCCCCTCCCCCCTCCCCCCTCCGGAGAGAGGGCGGAAGAGGGGAGGAGTCGGTGGGGTTAGAGAGACCCAGAGGGGAACAGAGACAGACCGAGATACTGAGGAAAGCAGAAAGAGGAAGAGAGAACCGGCCAGAGGCAAGAAGGGCAGAGAACTTAGGAGACAGAGGGGAGAAGTCGAGGCAGCAAGCCAGGGACAGGGACCCAGAGGGAGGGCCGGCACAGGGGCAGGGCCACAGGTGACAGCAGCCCCGCCCCCACACCGGGGCTGGGCTGCTCACCTGTCCCGGGTCACACCTGAGGCTGCCTGTCCCCTGCCCTCCCAGGGCGGGGCAGCCGTGGGTGGGGCTGGAGTCAAGACTCCTGGGTTGAGCCCCAGCACCCTTGGCTGTGGCTTGGTAACTCCCATTCCCAAGGCACCTGGAGAGTCAGGCAGGTCCCACTGGGCCCGGTGGGGGCAGCTGTGCCCTGGGCACCCGCCTGGGGCTGGGGGTGCAGGAGCGGGCTCCGACGGGGCACAGCTCACTCCCATCTTCCCAGATGGCTCCTTGCCAGAGGCCCGGCTCCTCCCCAAGGCAGGCCCTGATCCTGGCCTTTGGCATTTCAAAACCGTGGAGCCAGCCCCAATTACCCATTTGGCCACCCCCAGGGGACTCTGGCCCCAAGCAGAAGGCAGTGACCCCAGTGACCTTCTCCTGCTTGCCCACGGCTGTCTCATCATCCAGGAGCACTGCCCACCTGGACCCAAGCCTCCAGTCCAGACCGCACGCCTTGGCAGCCACACCTGTCCGCACAGCCCGCCCGACCCTCCACTGAGTCTTGCGCCTGCCCAGCCTGGGGCTAACTTTGGACCAGAAGTTTTGGCCTGCATGCTCCCCACCTGGCAGCGCCTGCTCCTGGTCACACCGACCGCTGCCTTCTCTGAGCAGACTCCTGGTCACAGCCAACCTTGCTCCCCTCCTCCAAGCCCCTAGCTCCCCGCAGCCCCCTTGCCAACCACCTCGCTATGAACCGGAGGCCGCCTTCACACAGTGCCCCATCTGTCCCTCCTCGGGCCTCTCATCCAAGCCCAGGTTGAAGGCCCAGCCATCCAGCCACCTGAATGTTCTGCTCCCTGGGGGCCACTCTCAATCCTCAGCCACAGACTTGGGGAATCGCCCCTTTCGGGTCCTCGCCTCGGCGTCTTCCTCCCACCTTTGGTTTTCTCTCCCCCAACTAACTTCGCAGCTGCCCCCCCCACACACATAAATACACCTGCTTGCACGTCTCCAGGTCGTTGCACACGCTGTCTCCCACCTAGGGGCACCCCTTCCCTCTTCCAACGCTTGGCAAACTCCTATTCCTTTGGCAAAACCTCAGGCCAAGGGCTCTCCTCCCGCTCGCCTTCCTGCGCTCCCCCCGCCCGGGGGCTGCATGCTCCCCCAATCCGGAGGTCGCGTCACCGAGTCGAGGAGGAGGGGGCAGCAGACAATGCCTGGACGTGGAAGGAGGGGTGCGAGCGAACGCGCCGGTGCGGGGGTCCACGTGCGGCGCCCCCCGCTACGCCCCCTCTTCCGTCCGGGCGCTGCCGAGCCGTCAGACCCTCGGCGCGCCTCCCGCCCCCAAATTTGCAGACGCGCGACCACGGGGAGGGGGCCGCCCGCCTCCGCGCCGCGCTTGCGCACTCAGCCGGCCAGGGCGCGGTCCCACCCTCCGGCGCTAACGCCGCGCTGTCATTGGTGCGTGCGGAGGAGCGAACGGCGGGGCCACCAGTGAGGCGTCCCCCCGGGGTGGGCGGGGCCTGGGCCCCCCGACGCGCGGACGGGGGCGAGCGGGGCGCCCTCCCCGCGGTGACGTCAGGCCCGATTCGCGGCGCGTTGCCGTGGAAACCGCGATTCCATTCCTGCGGGTTTCCGGGGGCCACCCCCTCCCATTCAGCTTTTTCCTCAATGGGAGGAGGGGGCGGCGCAGGGCAGAGACCGCCCCCTGCGATCTCCGCAGACCCAGTCCTCGCCGGGCCTCAGTTTACCTTTCTCTCACGTGGCCTAACCTGCAGACCCTCTGGCCGCGGCTCCCCTCGGCCAGGCACCGGCCCCTGGCTAGGTGTGTGCGCTGTGCGCCCTGCCTAGGGGGGAGGAGGCCAATGGCCCGCAGCCCCCACCGGGGTGTTGTCCTCCTAGGACCCCAGGGCAGGGCCGTGACCCTTGGACTCCCGGGCTGGGCGCCAGGCAGCGCCCTGAGGGGTGGGTTCCCGGGCAGCAGGGCAAGTGCCCCCCGCCCTCAGCTTGCACACACAGCCTGCGATTCAGCCTGTGATTCAGCAGGTGCCTCAGTTGACACCTCCTTCCACATCCCCCACCCAGCCCTGTGGAATCACCTGGGTACAGCCCTCAGCCCTGACCCCCAGGGGCAGCTGCGTGGGCGGAAGCTTCCACCTGAGCTGTCCCACCCACGCCTCCAACCTGTGGCCGTTGACTCTGAGGTGTGGAGAGAGCAGCCTGACGTGTGGCATCCTACCTTCCTGCTGTGGGCTTGCGATGATTTTGGGGTGATTGGCCAGGGAGAGGGGCAGAAGGTCCTTCCGGAGATGCTCCCAGGACACTCCTGGCACGGGACCTGTGTCCCTTACCCATGGGGTCCCTGGAGCTGGGGTTGGGAGGGCAAGGGCTTGGGCCATCGGAAATCTGCCCAGGAGTGGGTGGACTCTCCGATCCTCTTGGGCAACTGATGTTTCTCTCTGGGCATGGGGTTTTCTCGTCTATCAGTTGGGACTACAGTTAGTTGTAACTTCTAGGGGCAGTGCTGCCGACTGAGGAAGCACAGGTGAGTTGGTGCTGTCAATGTCCTGCCTCTGCCCGGTCCAAGTGGATGACAGCGGGACGCCGGAGGACTGGCCCCTGGCCCGGCCCTCAGGGAGATGCCAGTTGAGTTAGTCCCTAGGCAGTGCAAGGGCAGACAGGAGAGGGGTGTTCCTGGTAGGGCACGGCCCGGACAAAGGCCTGGAGGCTTGATGCATGACCCTCAGGGCTGGGGAGCCCTGGAATGCAAGGCCAGGGTGAGGCCAGAGAGGGGTGAGAGTTCACCTAAGGCTGGGACGGTCAAGCCAGAGGCCTTGAACACAAGCCTCAGGCCCTGGGGAATCATTGATTTCCGCTAGAGAGCTTCTGGAGGCCAGGCCCCCAGGAGGGGGCTCTGGTAGCCTCTGGGAGGGCTCAGGTCAGGGGCCCACCCAGGCAGTACCTCCTGCCTGGCCCAGCAGCTGGAGCAGCCTCCCTGTCAGCGGCTGGGGAAACCGAGGCCCAGAGTGTGTGCTCAGGTATCCCTGGTGACAGTTCCAGGGGTCAGTCCCCAGCCCACTTCCCACAGCCGGGAACTGAGGCCCCACCCAGGGCGCACTGTAAGCAGGCAGCCCTGTGCCCACACCCTGCAGGACTTCCGGCCTCGGGTACCGGGGAAGTGGCTGGCCCCTCCCTCCCCTGCTGGGGCAACTTCCTGCCCACCCTCACCTCAAGCCAGGGAGGGAACGTGGGAACTGTTCTGGGATGCAACCCCCACCCACTTTCCAGCTCCCACTACCTGAGGTGGTGGGAGAACCCAGCACCTCACCGGGCCACCTGATCACCCCAAGCCCCCTCCTCAGAGAAAGACCCACCCACCGTGCCACTTCCAGGCATGTAAGACCACCCATCGTACCTGGGAGCCCCCTGTGATGGGCAAGAGCCCCCACCCCCCACAAGTGGGCAGCACATTCACTCGTTTCATTTTCTGTTTATTACTTGAAATCACGGTGTTTGTATAGGTTTATCTTTCCCAATTTTGTTTTCATACAGGAAACTCAACGCAAGGTGCTGGGACACCCCACAGCCCGAACCCTGAGGGTGGGTAATGCTTTCTTGGGGAGCCCTGGTGAGGGCAGAGGGGGGCGGGCTGGTTCCTGCCTGGGGCCTCCACCCTCAGACCCGCGGAGGCACAGGTGTTATTTAAAAATCGTTTAAAAAAAACCAAAACAGAACACATTTAAATAGGTATCCAAGACAGTTCTTCAAAAACAAACCCACTCCTTTTTTCTCCTTTTTTTTTTTTTTTGGAAAATGAAAACAAAAAAACAAATCCTTGACCCCTACCCTCTGACCCCTCCCCACCCACCCCCCCACAAAAATTTTACAGAGCTACAATTAACACATGATGTTCACATCTGAAACCATTAACTTTAAACACATAAGGGGGGGCGGTGTTCACCTACGATAGGATGAAGGAACAGGCAGGGGGTGGGGGTGTCTGGAGGACAGAAAGGTGGGGCAAGGACAAGACTGGGGGCAGGGGGCAGGGCCCGATCATCTCCATTATCAGTAAAAAATAAGTGAATGAAAAAAAAACTCCACCCCCATTGAAATGGCCCCAGTAGAGGGCTTGTCCCTCTGCCCCAGGGGAATCTGGGGATAAGGGCACTGTGGGGAGGGTCCAATTTAGACCAGCAGCGAACCCCCCCCCACAAGGGGGTTAATGCTACACAGCGTCACCCCTACCGGGGGCTTCACAGCTCAGCACCCCCTCCCCTCCTGGCTGCCAGAGGGCCTCCAGACACAGCCCACAGGCCCAGATCCCTCAGGTCGGGCCAGGAAGGAGCGCTGGGGGTTATTTCCCCTGTCCCCCCAACCATTTCTCTCCCGAGTTTTCAAGAGACTCCCAACCACTATTGGCTCAGAAAATTAATAGTCTATAAATACCCCAAGCTCAGAACAAAAAGGGGGTGGGGCAGGAGGAAATGGCACAGTGCGTGGACACGAAGGCTGGCGGCTGTCTGTCCCCCTCCCTCTCTTTCCTACTTGGGAGAGGGCCCCACACCCCCACCTGAACCCCGAGGCAGGCTGGGGTCAGCCTACTGAAGCGCCTTTTTTTTTCCCCTGGAAAAAGAGACCAAGAGAAAAAAGCACAGATGTGGAGGAGACCCGGCCGTGTGGGTGGCACAGGCGGTCTCCGGTCTCCGGTCGCCGTGGGGCCGGCCGGCCGCCCTGGAGGCTGGGGCGCAGCCGCAGCGGGGCTTCCCTCCTAGGCCCTGCCCGTCTGTAAAGTGCATCATGAGGCATCTACGTTTTTGACTTAAACCTGAAGGGGTGGGGGCGGCTTCCTCGTCTCGTCCCACTCTCAACCATCTGGAGTGACTGCTACATATCTGGAGCTTGGGAAGTGGGCGGGGAAGGACCCAGCTCAGGCCGAGGATGGGAGCCGGCGACGGGAGGAAGAGGCGGGGAGGTGTGAGCTGAACCAAGGAGGCAGGAACCGAGTCCATGGAGAGTTCGGAAAACCATGGTAAGAATGGAAATTAAAAAAAAAAACAAACAAAAAACCAACAAAACGAAAAAAAAAAAAAAAAAAAACCAGAAAGAAGCTGGCGGGGAGGGAGGGGCCCCCCGCTGCCCTGACCGCCTGCCCTCCCGCGTGCAGGCCATGCCGGGGGACTCCCGGCCCAGGGTGGTCGGCGAGGGACGCGGCTCCTAGGCCACCACGAACTCTGACTTAATGTCGGGATTGACTTCCGGCTTCCAAACGGAGTCCTCGAAGTCGAGGCCCAAGCCGGAGGCCTCGCTGGGACCGCCACCTCCCCCGCCGCCGGTGGTGTCGCTGCGGCCGGCCTTGCGGCTTGGCGGCCAGTGGTAGGGGCCGCGGGCGTCGCGCCGGGCCTTCCTGCGGAGCCGCTTCTGCTGGAGTAGCAGCTGCAGGCGCTCCACCTTGCAGCGCGTGGCCCGGTTTTCCGTCTGCCGCAGCCGGTCCCCTGAAAGGAGGCAGTGACTGTGACCCCTGAGCCCCTCGGGGCGGAGGCCAGACACCCCCCAGGCGCGAGGCACAACCCAGCCTTCCTGGGCGCGGAGAGAGGGAGCCTCGCTACAGAGTCCGTCGGGTCCGTGGCGGAGCCCGGGGCGCCGTGAAGCTCCTGGGACTCGAGGGGTCTCCAGCCCGTCTCTGCGCAGGCTAGGCCGGGTCCGGGACGGGTGCCGAGCACGCCGCCAGCACGCCTATCAGGTGCTGCACAGGCCCTGGGGCCGGTGCCTTGGTTTCCCGTTCACGACCTGGGCTGCGGGCCCGCCAGACGCAACAGGGACACTGTTCGGCGGATTCGGGATTTACTGGGGGAAACCTGGTCTCTGGGGGACTCAGGCTACCCGAAGCAGCTCTGGCCCCCTCCGGCATCAGACGCGGCCATTCACAGAGGCTCCACCTGCCATCTGGACAAGGTGCCGGGGGGTGGGGGGGCGGCAAGAAGGAAGTACCCCCCTCAGGAGAGGACAAGGACACTTTGTGCCCCCAACACACATGCTCCCTTCTCTCGGCTCCAGTGCAGAGCAGGGCGAGAAGCAGCTGCCGGCCCCCCCAGCCCCCCTGGGTCAGCTGCTCTGAGCAGTGCACAGAGGGGCCTTGAACAGCCCAGGGACGGGTGGGGCGGCTGGACACTCACCCAGCGGCTTGCACATGCGGGCCTGGCTCAGGGAGGCCGGGGCTGCGGCCGCCAGCTTCTCACAGGAGGTAGTTTTGGGGGTGAGGTCCGGGGCGGGAGACGTGGGTGCGCACTGGGCATGGCAGCGCAGCTGTGTCAGGGACGGGGGCATGCCCTGGTAGTGCCGCGTGGCGCTCAGAAGGTCATTGAGGATCTGCAGGATGGTGCCAATGTCACGCCGCGGCCGCCCGCTGCTGTCCTGGCAGTTGGGGTGCAGTGTGCCTGCAGGAGACAGGGGAGTCGCTGCTGAGCGCTCGCGTGACCGACACGTGGCCTCCGGAGCGCACTCGTAGGCAGGTGGGACGCCGGGGCGGGAGCGAGGCACACGGGGGCCCACAGCCTCCTGCGTGGTTGTGCACGTGCCAGGAGACCCCGGGGTGGGTGGGGGGATGGGTGAGAAGGTACCCCACCCCCGGCCGGCCATCTCTGGGGGGAGCGGGAGGGGGGCGCAGGGGTCCCGTAACACCTACCAGAGAAGGTCCCTGAGAAGACCCCCGGGGCGTGGTTCACAAAGCTCTCGATGACGGCGCCGGGTTTGCGGGAGCGGGAGGTAGGGCTCCCTGCGGGGGTGGGGGTGGGGCTGCTACCAGCGCTGGCAGGGGGCGAACAGTCCATCTGCTGGTCGGAGAGAGGGAGGCATGTGAGCTGTGGGGCGCAAGGAGAGTCCCTGGAGTCCAGAGTCTGGCGGTGGCCTTTGGTCCAAAGCACACGTCTGGGACTCTGAGCCCTCCCCTCCGCAGTTCCGGGGACAGCCTGCCTTCCCGGCCCCAAGAACGAGCCCTCCCCAGACTCACCTCAGAGCAGGCGGGAGAGGCTGAGTGGGATCGGAAAGAGCCGGCGGTGACAGGTGAGGGGGACGCAGGGGCAGGGCTGCTGGCCATCGGGGGGACTCGGGCAGCACTGGACACGGGCCGGCAGGGCGAGGACACGGGGGCGGTCATGCTGGGGTCGCCCCGGGCCGCAGCGGCCGCGGCGGCGGCGGCGGCCAGCACGTGACGGTGCTGCAGTGGGGCGTGCTGGGCGGCAAGCTGCAGCTGGACGAACATCATGTGGTCACCCACGCGCAGCGCCAGGGTCAGCGGCGAGCGGCCGGACAAGAAGTCACTGACCTGTAGAGAGGGGCCCCGTCAGCGCCAGGGCCCCAGCCTGCTGCGCGCCCCCAGCCCGGCCCAGCCCCGGCCCCCCGCGCTGTGTGACCTGGGGCCTCTCGCCGCCCCTCTCTGGGCTCTGGGGTCCCTGTCGGTGCCACGGATGCTTAAATAAAATGAATCGGTATTTCCGGAAGACGCCTCCGCCAGCCCGGCCCGGCCCGGGCGCCACTGGGGGCTGTGGGGGACAGAGGCGGGTCAGATGGGGGGGCCTGGCCCTCCCTGGCCAGCTTGGTTCTTTCAAGGGGAAACTGAGGCCAGAGGGGGCAAAGCCCAGTCAGCAGTCACTGCCCTCGGATAACCCCACCCTCCCAGCCCCCAATGCTCTGCCTGTGAATATGGGAGGGGAGCCAATCTCAGACCCCCTCCCAGTTAAGCCACCCAGGCAGCAAGTGGGCGGGAATTCCTGGACAAATTCTTCTTCCTAACCTTTGCTTTCTCAAGATAAATATTTATCTGTCCTGGGTGGGGCTGAGACTGAGGGGGAGGCTTCGCTGCTGCAGGAGGGGGCCCTGATGGTTCTCTGAGGCCTGGGTCCTGTGAGACCTCCACGTAGCCTGAACGCAAACCCCCAAATCTGGTGGGTGGTGGTGGTGGGGGGCGCATCTGAGCTCAGTCTGCGCTGGGCTCCTCCTCTGGAGCCTAGCCAGTGCTGAGCTTTCCCCAGGGGCCAGGATGGTGGTGGTGGGGGGGGGAGGTTTCTGAGAAGTGACATAGGCCGGGATGACTCAGAACCACCGCCTCCCAGCCCTCCGCTGGCAGCGACTGGCGTAACCTTCTCTGCTTGGGGGCCGTGGGGAGGAGGCGAGGGAGGCGGGCAGTGTGCAGCCCCCACCCTGAAGCCTGAACTACATGGCACCCCCCCCCCAACCCCAGAGACTCCCCTTGCAGGAAGGGCCTGGGTTGGCTTCCCAAGAGCAACTGGGGAGTCCCCCCCACCCCTCCACCCTGCAACTTCCTCCCTGGGGAGGGCGAATAGGAGGGCATGACTCGGTGCCAGGCGGGGAAACAGCCCTGGGAGCCCAGTCACTCCGCCCAGTGCCCCCCCCCTCCTGACGCAGGCACCCTGGGGCGGATGTGAACCAAAGACACCCCTGGCCCCCCCGCCAACCGCAGGCCCCCCATGAGCAGAGAGCTCAGTTCACATCTTCACCAGGAAATCCAGTGTGGCCCCCAGCCAGCTCCCGGGACCCCAGCTCTGCCTTCAGCCCACCGGCCCTCCTGATGGCAGACCACCCAGCGCCAGTGCCCCTCTTCCTCCTTGCTAGCTAGCTGGTGAGGACAGGATGCTACATGTCGGGGAGGGGGCGAGGGCCTCAGGGCAGGAGGAAGGGAAGCCGCTGAGCAGGTTTCCTGCGGCCAGCCCAGCCCAGCCCACCCCCTAGCTGGGGCGGGCAGCAGCCTGCTTCCCCCACCCTGGCAGCGGGCGGATAGCTGAGGCCTGTGTCACCCTCCTGGGAGGAGGGCCCCGCCGCCAGAAAAATGAGGAAAGGAGGAGGTAAAAAAAAAAAAAAAAAAAGGCTGCAACAAAACCGGGAACCCGGCTGTGGGCCAGTCCCTGCCTTCCTCCTCAGCTCCTGGCCAGTTGCTAAATATTTTCCTAACATCCTGTCTAGGCTATGGCCCTGGAGCTGGGTGCCCCCTCCCCCTTTTGGGGCAGAGAACAAAGGCCAAAGGGAGAAGGAGGAGGGGTGACTCCCCACCCCTTACAATGGGGTCAAAGAAGGCGGAAGGAGTGTCACCCAGGCTGGCCCCTCCAGCCCCCCCAACCCACCCACAGAAATTTGGGAAAAAAAAAAAAAAAAAAAAAAGGTTGCCCTGGGGAAACCGCAGTGGCTGGGGGGACTAGGGACCCAGGCCCCGGTGTGGGAGCGGTGTGGGAGCGGTGTGGGAGCGTGGGCCAAGGTCACCCCCTCAGGCAGGCTTGTGAAAGCCCAGCCCCCTCCCCCAAGGCAGCCACCGTGGGAGAGAAGGCCCTCAAGGTCAGGTGGTGAGTGCGAGGGGGGAGGAGGAAGAGGAAGCTGGGTGACCAGGCCAAACTGGCAGGAAGGCTGGGCGGCGCGTACCCTCCCTCCCCGTGGGTCTCCTGGGAGCACAAACACCACCCCCCCAGGCCCTCCCCCTGGTCTGGGAGGGACCGGCGCGGGTCTTACCTGCGTCTCGGTCAGGCTCTCCAGGGCCTGCATCACAGACTGCTCTGGCCTTGAAGCCTGGGACTGAAACAGAGGAGAAGCCGCTCTGAGCGTGCGCTCTGGTCCAAGGGCCCAGGCGCCAAGACAGGGGAGCTGCTTGCCGACGGGGGCTGCCCTGGCAGGGTGTGTGCTGGGAACCAAGTTCTCAGGGGAAGGGGCTGCCCGTCTGTGCCAGAGCCTCTGGGGCACTCTGCCCCAGCCATTTACCATGAGGCCCGCCTCCACGGTGGGCACCAGCGTCAGCTTGCTGCCATCCCCCACGCCGAACTCCTGCAGCTTCCCCGAACTGAGCCGGCTGGGGGGAGGAAGGAAGAGGGTGAGGCCAAGGAGACAAGGCAGCGACCCGGGGGGGAGGGCTGTGTTCCTGGGGGAGATATGGGAGCCCTACCCACCCCTCTCCCTTCCTGCCCTTCAGACCAGAGAGGCGGTGGGGGGGGGGCGGGGAGTGTCAAACATCTGGCCCTGAGGGCCCCCATGCAAGTGGCTCAAACCTCCTTCCCAGAAGCCCCAACTCTGCACTGGGGCACCACCTCTGCACCTCAACAAAGCACTTTTTCATCACCCGGGCGCCAGTGCACCCTTGCCGTCCTCTGCCACCCTTCCCTCACCCCAGGGCCAGCCCCTGCCAGTAATTCACCAACTCCGGCCCGGCGCTCCTCTTTGTGGGAGCCACAGGGCTTAGCCTTTAGGGTCTTTTGCGGGGCCAGGCTCCCCCTCCTCCCTCCCTCCCTGGCGCAGGCCGCCGCGGCTCAGACAAAGGAGACCCTCCCCCAACCGCCCCTCCCCCACGGGGGCCCCTCCGCTGGGGATGGACACTGTGTGTCCCTGGAGGCCCGCGGGGGGAGTGCTCCCCGGCCTGGAGGTGATTTAAATACCAGGGGGGAGGGGGAGACTGCGGGAGTGCTCGGTGGTTAGAACAAAGGGGGGTAGAAAGACGCAAGTAGGGGAAGAAAACAGCCAGACGTAGAAGAGGGCACCGAGCAAATGCAGAAGCCACCGGGAAATAAGACAGAGAAGGAGGCGGCCGCGCCCCCCACCCCCGCTGCTGGGACCCCCACACTGACCCGGGACTCCTGCCTTCCCAGGAGGGGAGGGGGCGGCCCTCGCAGCCGCCTTTGTGCGGCGACCCCGGGCGGGGGAAGGGGCCGAGGCAGGCAAGGCCGAGCAGAGGGCGCCCGAGAGCGCGCGGCGCGCCCCCGCCCCCCGTCTGGCCGCCCCCTTCCTTCCCCGTGCGGCGCGCTCTTTGTTCCCGCCCGGGGGCCTGGGCCCGAGGGGGTGGCGGGTCCGGGGGCGGCGCGCGGTACCTACGTGTCTTTGTGGAGCAGCGCCAGGCGCTCCTTGGGCACTTTGAGCCTCTGGGACAGCCGCTTGCGCAGCCCCTCCACCGTTTCGTCCGGGGGCACCGACAGCTCATAGCGGGTGCCCGTCGTGCTGTGGATGGCCAGACTCATGGGCGCCGCCTCGGCCGCCGGGCCTAGCTCGCAGGCGCCGCCGGGGGCCCCGCGCCGGCAGCTCCGGGCGCCGCCGGGCTGCGACTCCATCCCCGGCCGGCGCTGGAGAGCTGGGGTCCGCGGGGCGCCGCCAATCCTCGCCGCGCCTCCGGGCAGTGCGGGGGGGGGGGCTCCCCGAGCCGGGGGTCCTCGGGGTTCCTAGGGGAAGCGCACGTCCCCTTCGAGAAAGTCCCAGGAGCCGAAGGTGAATCAAGAATCAAAAATCCGAGCGGCGCTTCGGGGTCGCGTTGGCTCGTCGGGGCGCCTTCCGGGGGTGGGGACTGCACTCGCGGCTCCTTTCAAGGACGCTGGGCGTGGGGGAGGGTCCGGAGGAAGGGGCGCCGCTTAGGCAGTGGCGCTCGGTACCGTCCGCCGCTCGGGCCGCGCTTCCCCGCGCGTCCCCTCCCTTAGCAACAGCCGTCCCCGCCGCCGCTGCCGCCGCTTGAAAGATCTGGGGGTGAAAGTAACAAGAAAAAAAAGTTATAATGTATCAACGTTCCAAGGGGCGGGGCTGCCGCCCCCTCCCATTCACTACTTACTCCGCCGGCCCTGCGTCGGCCAATCGCCGCGCGCCCAACGATCAGTCAGCCGCGCGGGCGGGCCAATGGGAAGCGCCGCGGCGTTGCCCCACGTGGCCGCGCGGGCCCGCCCCTCGCCCCGCCCCCGGCCCAGCGGCCAAGGGGAGCTCGGCGGGGGCGGGGCTGGCGCCGCTCTGGCCCGCCCCCGCGCTCCACCCGCCCGCGCCGGGGGCCATTCATACGGTCCGCAACAAAGGGCAGGCGGCCCGAGAGGGATCGGGGTGGGGAGGGGGCGGCGCGGGGTCCCGCTCCCGGGGGGCGCGGCGTGGGGGCGGGCACTGTCCCAGCACCGGGAGGGGCAGGAAGCCGGGGGACCCCCCCCCGCGTCTGTCCGGGAAGCCTCCGCGAGCGGAAGCGGGAGGCGATCCTCGCGCTTCGTGGCCGGGCGGCTCTCAGGAGGTTCGGCCGGCGGGCGTCCCCGACCCGTGGGGCGTGAGGTCCGACGAGGAGTAGGGCTGCGGGCGGGGCCTGCACCCCGGTGACGTGGGCCGGTGCCGGGAGGGCCCCTCCCGCGCCGGTACCACCTCGTGTCCCACCCCTGTCCCGCGGGCCGGGCCCGCTTCCCGAGTCTCGCCCGCCCGAGCCGTGACGTGACGCGGCGTCCCCGGCTGCGCCCGCGCGCGCCGCTTGGGGCTGCGGTGAGTCAGCAGCGCCGGCGCGCCCCCTGCCGGCCCTGCCCGGGAGCGCTGCCTGAAGTCCTGGGGAGGGGGCGAAGAAGCTGCCCCGGGGCCGGGGAGAGGCCTACGGGACCGCTGGCGAGGTGGGAACCTCCATTAGGGGTCTGAAGCCTCCAAGGCGGGAGGCTGGGGCCGCACAACTGGAGAAACTGAGGCTGAACAGCAACTTGCTCAAGGTCACTCGCGGGGTAGGAAGAGTGCCCGGGAGGCGGGGCGGGGGCTGAGGTCTTGACGGGGCGGTGCTGCTTACGCCGAGCCCCTCCCATCCCACGACCCGAGGGGCTTGCCAGGGCTGGAGACACCCCGAACCCTGCCTGCCCCCAAAACAAAGAAAAGTGGGGCACCCGTAAGAGCCTAGAGTGGGGACCCTCCTACTCGTCCGGCGAGATCCCACCCGCACTCACCAGACGCGGCCAGTTCGAGGTCTCAACAGTCCTGAGTGTACCCACGTCCGGGGACAGCGCGCAGTGGCGGGGCAGGTCTGGGGCCGAGCGGGCGGCCCCCAAGCCTTTATCCGCACCGCCTTCCCTCGGGGTGGAGTTTGGGCGGGCAGGGGGCGGAGGGCCGGGCGGCCGGTGACGCAGGCGGGCCCCCGCCCCTGCCTGCAGGCCAGGGCCCTGGGGCGCCTTGGGATCTGGGCCACCCACCCCTTAAGCCTCGCCTCGTATATTGGGGGTCGCTGCTGAACCCAGGGTCACAAACGGCTTCGCTGATGGGCCGGATCCCCAGGACGGGGTTTCGGGTGCACAGGTTGGCTCCCGCCCCACCCCCCTCCCTGCCGCTCTAGAGTCCGGTGCTTCCGCCTGGGGGCGCCCGCGTGGGGGTGTGCAAGGGAGGGGGGTGCCTGAGTCAGCGGCCACAGTCCAGGAAAACAGGCTGGAGTCACCTGCCTGTTGGGGGGGTGCCCCAGCCAGCTGCCCGGGCAGCCTGGCCTCCTGCATCCCTTAACGGTGACCTCAGAAGACATTTATGGAGCGATTAACCTGCGCCAGGCCAGCCTGGTGCAGCCAGCCACCACCCGCCACGCTGTGACCTTTTGGAGCCTGTTTCTGCGGCTCTCCATGGCTGCAGAGGGATAGAATCCAGCACGGCTCACTCTGGGGCCCCAAGTGGGGGGCTTGGGGATGGGCAGATCACCCTACCCATTTCACAGACCAGGTAACTGGCACCACACAGCACCAGGTGAAAATGTGGCAGGTCCTGTTTCTCCCAGCACGTTGCTCTGGGTTGGGAACTTTTTGAGGATGACCCTGATTGGTGTGGGGCCCTCTCAGTCCTCCTGCTCCCTCTGCCCAAAGGAGGGGACCCCAGGACCTACTCGCCTGCCCCTTGTCCATTTATCTGGTTTCTCACTTTATCTGGCCTGACCACCTCCACCTCCACCCTAGTGGTGGGCACCCCTCCCAGGGCTGTGTTCCTTTCCAGGTCCCCATCCTGCTCCCACCCTGCTCCTGCAGCCTCTGACCCGCCCCCTCCCACTCACCGTCATACCCACACCCAGAGGCTCCCAGCCCCACAGGGTCAGGAAACCTTTGGGAGGGGGTCGCTGGGGGCTGGGATTGAGGGATGGATTTGGCGGGACAGAGGACCGTGATCCAGAAAGTGAGGCAGCCGTGCAAAGCTCAGGCTTGAGGGAGTGCTGGAGCCTGGAGATTAGGTTGTGGGGCCACCGCTGAGGGCCTTGGAGGGCCCTGCTGCCAGAGGAACATGGGGGTGGCAGAGGGAGCTGTGCGCTCTGAAGCCGGAGCATCTTGATGTTGGAGGGGCTCCAGATGGAGCAGGTGGTGCTGGGTCAAGGATCTGTAGCCAGGGTAGCCAGGGCTGTGTGATCGCAGGTGGGTCTGAGACCTCGCCCTTCAGGTTACCAGCAGAGTAGCGGGTCCTCCCAGAACAGGGGCCCCGACGGTTCATGCACATCTAGGGGTGGGACATTGCTCTCAGGAAAGGACCACAGCCCCAGCCTGGCTCTACAGGTCCAACTTAAAAAACACACTAAGTCAATCCACTTCCTCCTTTTTTACATGTTTATTCCGTGCTCTAGTCAGTCCCTGGGTGTGAGAACACACGCAGTCCAAGGGGACCTCCTTCCTCAAAGAGGATCAAACCTTTATGTGAGCCTGCCTTCAAGGAAAGGGTTGTGACCTCCGGTTGCTGGTCGTATGACCCACTCTACCCCAGATGCCTCCACCCCGGGACAAGGCCTCGGCCAACACACGCTGTTCCTGCAGGCCCACATCAGGCGTGGGCATCCCTAAGGCTCCAAGGCTCACACCTCCCCCAGGAGGCCTCTTTGTGCTGAGAAATCTTACCTATGTCCAGAGCTGCACCCCCAGCCAGAGGCTGAGATCTCTCTGGGAACAGGGGTACGGCTAGAGGGACTGCTGGTGTGGGTGGTGCCGGTCCAGCGGCTTCGCTGAGAGTGTAACTGTCGTGGTCGTGCCGCCGCGTTCCCTCAACCACCACTCGAACCCCCTACCCTGTCCTTGGTCCAAGGCCTGACCAGGAACTCTAGGACCTAGGCTTCAAAACACACAACAGGGAGGAGTGGGCCTGCACCTGTGAGCCCATGGCTGTCAGCGTTCTCTGGCCTGGGGCTTCCTGGGAAAGTGGGGGCCAGCTCCTTGGGCCTACCAGCCTGAGTGGGGGACCCAGAGAGAAAGCCTGCATAGCTGTGAGCTGGTCTGGAGGCCCCACAAGCATGGCTCCTGCCACACTGAGCGTCAGTGAAGCCATGGGACAGTCACTCGCATGGGACCGTGACACACGAATACACAGCCCATCTGTGCTGACAACGTGCCCAGGGAGGGCCTCCCTGTCACCTCCAGGCTGCCAGTGACACATAGGAAGGCCCAGACTCTCCCGCACACTCACCCCCCTGGAATCCCCTGCCACCCTGCTCAAGCCCAGGGCTATGTAAGGGAGGTGAGGAGACCCCTTCCCTCAGAGTCTCCTGCTGGCCACCTGCAGCAAGCTTCTGGGCCAACCCTGTGCTTGCAAAAGGGAAGAAATGGAGCAGCACAGAAGCTGCCCCCGCCCAGCTGCCCCACCCCATCTGGGGCCAGCCCAGGGGCCTGGATGGCACAGAGGTGCCAACACCACCGGGGATGAGGCGCACGGCCAGCCAGGGCCACCCACAGGCCGGGTGAGCAGAGGGCTGGGCCTCTGTGGGAGCAGGCAGGACCCGCCTCTTCCCAGCGTGGCTGGGGCGGGCCGGGGAGCCCACAGGGCAGACGGCACAGCCTGAAACCTGGCAGAGCCCCAGGAGGCTGTCCAGCAGCCCAGGACTGGCCTGGGAGCTGGAGCCACGCCCCCGCGGGGCCAGCAACTTGTGCCAATCCCCACCCTCTTGGGATGATGGCAAACAGCCTGCCCCCCACCTACCCTGGTTTCATGGGCTATGCCCCCTGCACACCCCTACTCCCCAGTTTACTAAACCCCCGAGGACCCCTCGGGCCCCAGCTTCCAAACCCTGGAGGCTCAGGCTGGCATTTAATGCCTTATCCCACCGCAGGGGCACGCAGAGCTCAAAGACCAGGCAAGATCCTGAAAACAGAGTCCCAGGCAGGACACAAAACCAGCATACACAAGTCAGGTCCCTGGTTTTTAATGGGGGGCTCAAGCCGGGGGGCAGGCTGTCCCACAGAGGTGACTAGGAGCTAAAGTCTCCACGGCAGGGTCTACAGAGTCAGAGGAATGGCGGGTGGCACATCAGGCTGGGAGGGAGGGGGCTGGAAGGTGGGAAGAGAGCCCACGGTGGGGGGGTACACACAGCCCCCCCTCAAAAAGCAGAGCAGGTCTCTGGGCTCACCCCCAGCCACCAGGCCTGCCAGCCCTGGCAAGGAGCCTGTTTCCTGGGTTTGACGGGTTAGCTCTCTTGGCAGAAAACTAGAACCGTGCTGCCCCCTGGCGGCCTTCTCTGGCAAGATCGCTTCCTCCACAGGAGAACGAACCCCTTTAGGCGGCTTGCTGACCTTCCTCCCCACCCCTCCACCCCCCACCGTCAGACTGGACCCGCGCGAGCTGGTTCAGCCTGCCCAGGACATCCTCTGCCCAGTTCTGGGCCTCGGTTTCCCTGCTGGCAAGAGCCACGCACCGCCTACTCAAGAGCTTTCACCAGGGCCTCGTTGGCCTCGATGCGGATTTGGATCTCAGCCCTGGAGGCCTCATCTGCCGCCCCTGACAGCTCCGACTGCGCCTTCTCCAAGTTCACCTTGGCTGCCTGCAAGAAGTGGGCAGTGGGTGAGAGCCGAGCAGCGACCCCAGCCTGGTGCCTGCCCCTCCACCAAACTCAAGGTCCCTTCCCCGAAGCCCACGATCTTTAGGACAACCCAGCCTCCTAGGCATACCAGTCTCTCCTGGGACACTCACCCCCACATCTAGCATGTCCAGCGTCACGGCCTCTTCGGCCAGCAACTGGACTGAGGAATCAGCATTCACGGTGACGGAACCACTGCTCACTACAGAAAGAAAAAGACGTAAGACCTCCACACCCAGCCGTAGGTGACATGATCACCCCCAAACCAGAGAAATGGCTCCACAGGGTGGCCCTAGAGTCTAGCATGGGAAACAGACAGCTGGAGAGAATGGAAGATGCACCGGGGGCCCAGGAGCACCCACTGGGGGTTGGACACAGAGAATAGAACCTTATTCCTTCACCCACCAGTCCATCAACTAAGCTAGGATCAGGGATGATCCGGGAGCTGGATTTGAATCCTGGCCGTCCCTCCGAGTTGTCCCTCCGAGTTGTGCCGGAGAAGCACTTCTTAGGGTCCAGGATCCTACACCTTCTCTTAATCGGCTCCTCCCGCACAGGATTTGACTTCTCTCTCAGACACCTGTCCCCCACCCCCACCCTGCCTCCTTACAGACTCCTTAACGCCACGTTCGCCCTACGTACTGTTCTTTTATCAGCTCTATGATCTGAGACTGAGACCGGCCTAATGAAGTATGAGGCCCCTACCCAGCTCCATGCCACTGGACTCACCGAAGTATTTGGAGGTGGTGCCATCCTCAGCATGGACAACAACCAGCCCTGGCCGCAGGACCTGCAGGGTGGGCACGTGGGCCGCAAGGATGCCAAAGGCTCCTGTCTGCGTGGGCACATCCACTTGCCGGACGTTGGCACCGTTGAAAAACACCTGGAAAAACACAGGGCATGCGTCACTGCAGGCCAGTCTTCCAGTGCTCGGGACGGGCTCCCCTGCAGGGCAACGGTCAAAGGCGGGAGGGAGCACTGATGCGGAACACGGAGGCGGTCACGCCGGGGCGGAGACTTCAGTTTCGGTGCCCCGCAGCATCTCAGTGCCGGCATCTAGCCCAGAGCCCGTCCACACAGAAACGCCGCAAGAGCGCAAAAGGCGCACCGACCCAGGACAAGTGCCCGCGGCTCCGGGACCTGCGGGACGGGGGGGGGGGGGGGGGGCGGGGAGGCCCAGTCCTTGGGCGTTGGGATTCCAGAGAAAGGTTACGGAACTCGGAAGACTTTATAGGGCTCGGGTTCCAGACCCCAAGGAAGAGCGTAGGGCGCGGGTCAAGAGGGCGGGGCAGCGACTCTGGGGCTGGGGGGCTCGCAACCCGGACCAAACGAGACGGAGGGGGCGTGGGTCAGGGATCCCAGATGGGGTTGGGGGCCTCGGAGCCCCGGAGGCTGGGGAGCCCGGATTCCGGACGACACAGGGGAGGGGCACAGGGCGCGGAACAAGTGGGGATCGACAACCCTGAGGCTGGGGTCTCCGACTGCGGGCCACCACGGGTCCGGGCTGGAGATGTCGACCAAGGCGGGGTCCCGAGACAGACCGGCATCGAACCTGCGTGGGTGAGGCGAAGGTGAAGGACATCTGTCCCGGGCCCGCAGCCGGGGCCGGAGCAGCGGCGGCCTCGGCGTAAGAGCGGGCCTGGCGTACGAGGGAACGCAGGCCGGGGCGGCGGAGGGCTGCGACGGGTAGCATGGCGACGGCCGCGAGCGGACTCCGGCCGAACGCGGGCAGCCTGGAGGACGAGGAGGACGACGCCCGGGGACTTCTGGGAAGAGGAGTCCAGGCAAAGGCGCACGCGCGAACTACGACTCCCAGCGAGCCGCGCAAGACATTGCAACGACGCATTGCGCCCCGCGCGCGGCATGCTGGGGGTTGTAGTTTCCTTCCAGTCCTAGCTGCCCGCCGAGTGGGAAGATGGGATGTGTGTCAATGGGGAGGACCAGAAGCCTCCGCGGAGCAGGGGTCACTTGAATTCAAGGTTTTGGAGGCGCTCATTGGATGCCAAGCGCAAGATCCATCAAGGGGAATACCAAGATTCCGGTTCTGGTTTGGGGCAGTGGGGACGTTTACCAAACATTCAATGTAACGAATACGCAAATCATATGGCATATTAGAAGTTAAAAAGTACTTAAAAGAGAAAAGAAAAGCAGAGTTGGGGGCCAGGATGGGGTAGGCTGCGACTGTTAGACATGCAGACGTGCCGGGAAGGACATCCCAGGCGGAGGGTCTAGCGCGGATAAGCGCCCGGCGCTGCGGGCGCGGCTCGACTGCAATCCCCGAGGGCGCCGGCAGAGGGCACTCCGCGACCGGAGATGCACTCGCCACGGCCCCGCCCGGCCCCTACCCCCGCGCGCCGTTGACGCACGGACGCGTGCGCGGGCGGCCGGGGGCTCCGCTGACGTCGTCTCGGCTCGCGCAGCCTCGCTCGCGGCGTTGACGTCACCACTCCGCCCCCGCGCTCACGCAGGTGGCGCCCCGGGCCAGACCCCCAGGCCCACATCTTGGTCTCCGGCAAAGCGCGGAGTGTGGGTTGGGCCGGGGTGGGGCCGACACCGGGGAGGGCCTCGGCTGAGGGCGGAGGGGTGCAAGCCACAGGGGAGGTAGCGTCACTCGGGCCCGGGTCTGGGCAGGTGCGTTGCGGCGCGATGTTGCCCCGGTGGCTCCCCAACCCCAGGGGCTGCCTGCGCCCTAGCTCTCTGCTTTCCAGTATCTGGGCCGCCTGCGGCCAACACGGAGGAAGGACCCAGGCTTAGTGCCCAGACCCCCGCCCCCTCTGGGCCGGCGCTGTGAGGGAGAGTCGGGGCATCCTGGCCCAGGGTGTGCGTGTGCAGAGAGAAGCCCCATTCGCATTTCTAGGGGTGAGTCCTGTGCGCAGTCCCAACCGTTCCCAGAGCTCCGGACCCCACATGGAGGCAAGCCTAATCTACCGAATCAGTCGGCTTCTCGAACCCATCCACTGGACAATTTCGCTCCCATTCCTACTCCAGGGTGGCCAATGGGTAAAGGCCCCAAACCTAGGGTTACCCTGGAGATGGCCAGTGGACCCCCGTCGGCATGGCTTGTCCACTCAGTGGGGCCACTATGGCCACTATCACCGGTTTGCATGGCCCAGCCTCCTCCCCTGTCCTCCAAACAGCTGGGTTCACACAGAGCCAGAGGCACCATGTCATTCTCCTGATGGGAACCACAAGACGGCTTTCCTTGTTCCCTCCAACACAACATGTTGAACTACAAACATAGTTTCGTACCTCAGGTCCTTTGCACATTCGGCTCCTACTCGCTCGAGCCAGCCTTTCCTGGGTATTTATGCACTTAAGCACGTCCTGTCTTCAGTGTGCCAGCCCTGTGCCATTCCCGGGGACCCAACTCCTGCCTTGGACGGAACTCACCCTGTATGTAGTGAGGGAAGGGGTGAAGAGGGACACAACATATTGGAGCAAAGAACAGGCGACACGAAGTCCACGGAAAGGGGCAGGGGACTGAAGTGTGGGGTGGGAATTGCTGTTACCAAAGGTAGCCAAGAGGAGATGCACTGACACCTGACCATTTAGGGAAGAGATGAAGGAGGCCAGGAGTGAATCTTGAAGCTGAGCAGGGAAAGAGTCCGCGAGGCTCAGCACCTACAAGTGCAAAGGCCCTGAGGTTGAAGTGGTAGCGTCAGTTTTCACTGGAGGGGAAAGGCATGACATTGCGTTGAGCATAGGGCCAGGTGGGCTGGGCTAGAACCCAGACCACGCTGGTGCAGGTTGGTGTCCTAAGCATCTAGAAGGACAAGACACGATTTTCTGAGATGGAGAATGGGGAGCAGCTTTGGGGTTCACCAGTCATGGAGTTTCTGCCAGAGTAGTCCTGATGTCACCCGGGCTGGGCAGGCCATGGTGGCATTCAGCACAGATAATATTCTATTATTTTCACTCATTGTTTGTTCCAACAAGGCAGCGCGCCTGGTGAACCTGACAATGCCACGTATTAGGGAAGAAAAGGGGGGGCATGTCTCCAACCCCCCCAAACTGTGCATCCTGATGTCCCCCACGTTGGGGGACGCGAAGGAGGGGAAACCGATGGACCCGACTCCTCCCCTTCGTTCCCCGTCCCTCCAGACCCTGGGAAGGGTCAGGAGCTGTGTCGCAGGGGAGGGGGTGGAGACTCAGCCGCCGCGGGAGACAGCCGCTCCGCGTGAGGAGGGGGCGTCCGGAGCGAGGCTCCGCCCCCCACTCCCGCCGGAAGGGAAGGGGAGGCGGTGGCCGGCGCGCAGCGAGCCAGACGCGGCGGCGAGCGCGGCGGGGGCGGTCGGCCCGGGACCGGGTGGCACCCAGCGGGTCGGAGCGGGCTCGCCGCCAACGCGGTCACGTGCGCGGTCCCTCCTCTTGCGCCTGCCTCCCCCGCGCGCCGCGCTCTCCATTCATAAATTCTCCGCCTGCTCCGCGGCCACCGGGCACCGGAGCCCGCCGGGAACGCCGCGCAGCCGCCCGCCCGCCCGCCCCCCATGGGCCGCGCGCCCCGGCGCTGAGGTAGGCGCGGCGGGCCCGGGGACACGCCAAGGCGGGCGGGGGCAGGCCGGGGCCGCGCGGCCCATGGGATCGCCGCCGGCTCGGGACCACCGGCCCTTTCCGCGAGGCGGCGAGGCCGGAGGGAGGGAGTGGGGGGAGCCGGGGAGGGCGTGGGGGCCACTCTGCGGGGCTCTGCATCCCCCCTTAGTGGCCTGGAGAAGGACCCCCCGCCACACCCTTCCCCGGCCTCAGTTTCCCCTGTGAGATGCAGCGAGGGCGATGGCGTCTCCGTCTCCTGGGTTAGCCCGAAGCGGAGATGTGTCCGGAGTCCGGCTCTCTGCCTCTCCTTGAGGGCTCTCCATCCCGTCCCGGGGCCGGTTGGGGGCGCGGGTATGGGCGCGGTGGCGAGCGAGCTCGGGGAGGACCGGCTGGACCTCAGGGGCGGGCCCGTGGGGAACGTCCGCCCTCGGGTCTGGTCCCCGCCTACCCAGGAGTCCACCTCTCTTCCCCCTCGGCTGCCTGCCATTTTTTCTGATCTCCTGTCGCGGTCCCTGCGCTTCTGCCCCCTCCCCCTCCAGCCGGAACTCATTTCCCGACCTACATATGCGCGCCCATCCCCCTTGAGGATCCCGGGCAGCCACGGTCATTCTCGGATCGGAGCTGAGAGAACACCTGGCTTTCGCCAGGTCTCTCCCACCCCCACTCTCTGGGCCTGTTTCCCCTGCTGTCGAGTGGGGTTGACACCCGAAAGGGTTGGGGACGCTGGAGCCTGTGCACTGGCTCACCCTTTCCTCTGGGGAAGGACCGAACGCGCGCCCTGCCTACTCAGGGCTGCGGGTCATCCCGGCCCAGACTCTGCTCCCTGAGATTCCAGCGTGCAGTCCCCGGTCCTTCCCACCGGGAGGAGGGGGCGTTGAGGGGGGGCAGTCAGGTGCAATGTCCAGGCAGTCCCTTTCCCGAGGGCTGAGCTCCCCTCCCCCGGCCTCAGTTTACCCCTAGCGTGAAGCAAACGTGGAGGTTGGCCTGCTCAGCCAGAGAAGCTGCTCGCGGAGGCGCAGGGCCCCGCGCTGGGCACTGGCGGGGAGGCGGCTGCAGCAGCCATCTTGCCGCCCAGGACCGGCTCAAGCCGCCCTACAGGAGGCCTCCCTCCCCCGCGCCCCCTCCTCTCCCCAGTGCGCCCTGGCAACCCCCCCCCCCCCCCCGCTCGGCCTGCTCGCTCAGTCGCCATGGGAACCAGATTCTTCAGGGCTGGGAACAGATGCGCCTTCTTTGGCCTTTTCGCTCCCACTAGCACTGGGTGGAGGGGGGCAGCTACCTCCCGGAGTCGTGACTTTACGTAGTCACTGAGCTCAGTCCCTCCGCCCCCCTCCACGATCCTAGTACCACTCCCCCGTAGAACCAGTCTCCCGGGGCTGCGACAGCCCCCTCCTACCCCCTGATGCGGCTGGCAGGGCCCCTGAGGGCTCACGGTAGTGAACTGACATCTTTGGCGTCCCTCTTCCCCCAGGAGTGCTTCCCCTTTTCTGGGCAGGGTTCCCGGCCAGTTGCGACCTTGCCGGGCCGGCCCCACCGGCTGGGGAGGTGGTGGATAGCACACACCTCCCCCGTTTTACACACGGGGACACGGAGGTCCCGGCGCGGATCTAAGCGGGGTGGGGGCTGCCTCGGGGCTCTCCTCCACCTCTCCGTGAGTCACTGCCCCATGTGGACTCCTGCTCCCTCTCCCGGGGAGCTGGGAGGGGGAGGGGACAGAGGAGCTGGTCTGAGCAGGCCCTGCCCCCCCGGCCCCTCCTCCTAGCTTCACGATGCAGCCCACGCCCACCACGGCCACTGCCGCCGGCGCCGCCACCACGGTTGCCCTGACCTCGAGGTGGGACAACGCCACCGGCAGCCCCACCGTGAGTGAGGGGGACGGATGGAGTGGGGGGCCGGGCCGGGCGGGCCTCCGGAGGCCACGCCCAGCGGTCCTGACCCCTGCCGGCCCACAGGCGGAGCCTGACCCCATCCTGGACAACTACGTGCTGCTGGTGGTGGTCATGTCGCTCTTCGTCGGTGGCGCGCTAGTGGTGCTGTCCGGCGTGCTGCTCCTATGCAGGCGCTGCTGGGAGGCCCACCGGCGCTTCAACAGGTGCGCAGCCCGCCCACCCCAGCGGCCTCCCCGGGCCCCTGCGCGCCTGGAGCCGGGTGATCGTGAGCGCGCGTGCGCGCGCGCGCTGGTAGCACGCGTGTGTGTCAGCCTGTGTGGTGTTGGGGGCCTGCTTCTAAGTGCCTGGGGAGCACGGTGTGTCCCCTGGGGCCTGGCCCAATGAGCTCGGGTCCCGGCAGGTGGGCCCTCCGTCCCACCTTGCTGCCCTGCGGTCCCTCCCCAGAGCGACGGAGGAAGCAGAGAAGACCACCACCACCTACCTGGACAACGGTGCTCACCCGGCCCAAGGTGCGGCGCCCCGCCAGGCCCGCCCCCAGCCCGTTTGCCCGCCCTCCCGCCCGCCCCCTCGGGCCGCCTGACCGGCTGTGTCTGTCTGTCTCCCCCACCAGACTGGGCGCAGCTCGATTCCGACTCATCTCTGTTTCCTTAGAGCCCGCGCGTAGGTGCTCACAGGCGCGTGCTGAGCGAGTGAGTGTGTGAGCGGATGTGTGAGTGCCCGCCCTGCCCCCTGCCCCGTCCCAGCCCTCAGTCGGGCCCCACCCCTCGCCCCCTCCCCGACCCACCCCAGCCGGCCGCCCGCCCAGCGCCAGCCCAGCGCCAGGCGAGGCCCGCCCGGGGCCCACCCTCTGCACTCTCCTCGCAGACCCCGACTTCAGGGGGGAGGACCCTGAGGGCCAGGATGCCGAGACGGAGCGCTTCCTGTCCACCAGCTACACCGGCCGCCGGGTGTCCTTCAATGAGGCAGCCCTGTTTGAGCAGAGCCGGAAGTCACAGGACAAGGGCCGCCGGTAAGGGGCGGCACAGCAGGAGGGGACCCTGTCCCCAAGGGAGGGCACAGAGCCTGGTGCCCTGTGACTGGGCTCACTGCGGAGTGGGTGCTGGCCTTGCTCTCCCCATGGTGGAGCCAGGGACAGCAGCAGGTGTGGGCTCGGGGTTCAGGCTGAGCATGGGGGCTGGCTGGCATGGTGACAGGCAGCCATGCCGGGCGCAGGTACACCCTGACGGAGGGGGACTTCCACCACCTGAAGAATGCCCGCCTCACCCACCTGCACCTACCACCCCTCAAGATCATTACAATCCACGAGTGCGACCTGGGTGAAGTCAGCACAACCACCCCTCCCCACGCTGCTGCCACCCCCAAGGCCAACCTCGCCATATTCCAGGTGAGTATATGAGTGGCAGCCAGCCCGGGGCTCAGTGGACAGGACACCCACCCTGTAGGTGGCCCCTTTCCCACTCTCTGGGCTGGGCCCCTCGTCTTAGGACAGGGAGGGGGGCCTGGCTGGGGTGCACAGTGGGCTGTGGGTCCAGTAGTCCCCCTCACCCACTCGTGCTCTTTGACCTGTTACTGCTTCCTCCCCTAGCCCCCGGGGAAGGCCCTCACCGGCCGCTCCGTGGGCCCCAGCTCCGCCCTGCCAGGTGACCCCTACAACTCAGCCGTGGGCCCTGCTGACTTCGAGATCAGCCCCTTGGCATCCAGCGACTCCGGGGAAGGCACCTGGGTGAGGGCCCCCGAGCGGCCCCTCCCCTCCCTGCCCCACTCCAGGACAGAGGTCAGCCTGTGGCCTCCCCCGACCCTAACTCCCCTTGCTCCTGCCTGATCCCCCTGCATGGGAGGAAGAGGGGTAGGCAGCACTTAGACCACGCAGCCATCCCACACATGCACAGAGCATTCTAGCAGCCGGAGAGCCTAGGGTCAGGACACAGCCCAAGCCAGGGCATGAGTGCTCTTGGACACTCACCTTCAGAAACTCCTCTGTCCGGGGCTGGGAGAACAGAGCTGGCCAGAGCCTGGCTGAACCCCGCAGCTTAGCATAGCTTCCACCCAGCCACCGAGCGCTGTTCACTGCTCCTCTGCGTTCTGGGTGGGGCGTGTTGGCAGTCTGCCAGGGTGGAGGCCGCCCACGAGAGTGCAGAGCTGGGGCCCAAGCTGGGGCCAGCACGTGGGGCAGCAAGGAGAGGGTCCTCATGCCTGAGAGCATTCCTCTTTCCTTCCAGTTGGAGGCAGGTACCGGGAGCACTAAGCCTGTTGGGCCAGTGGCCATGACAGGACCCAGGGAGGCAGGCCCAGGCTCCGGGGCCGGACCTGTCCTGCAGTTCTTTACCCGCCTGCGGCGCCATGCCAGCCTGGATGGGGCCAGCCCCTACTTCAAGGTCAAGAAGTGGAAGCTGGACCCCAGCCAACGGGCATCCAGTCTGGACACTAGAGGTGAGCTGTGGCCTCCGTAGAAACCGGGGCCCAGGGAGTGGAGCTCCAGCTGCTGCCCCAGTCGGCCTTAGAGGAGGTTCTGCATCCAGGAAGGGGTCCGTGCTCTTGAGGGGCCCCGGGGCTCCTGCCCCCTGCTGGCCGGCAGCACCCATTTGCCAATGGGCATCTTGCCCAAGGGCTCGGAGCTGGTTGGGTCACTGACTGTGCCCCAGTAAAGCATGGGGGTGGGCAGGCCGTCGCCGCGATCGGTGAACTTCTTCGGTAAGGCTCTAGACAGTAATGCTTTTGGGTCTGTGGTTAGTCTCTCTGGTCTGGCAGCGTGGAAACAGCCGTAGACTGGGTATGAATGAGTGTTGTGGAGACGGGCCAATAAACCTGCATTTACAACAGTAGGTTGCAGGCTCATCTGTCCTGTGGGCCGGAGCATCCCCACCCCTGAGCTAGCGACAGCAGCCCTTCAATCCCGCAGACTGCCTGTCATGGAGAGCCCTGCATGTAGGGCTTCCTTACCCTCAGCCCCAAGCAGGGAACCTCAGGGCATACTCAGTATACTCCATATATACTGGGGGAACTCAGCCAGGACAGGACAGGCTGCGGGGGTTCCTGCCGCCCTGTGGAGGTGGTGGGGCCAGTGCCGGGACAGGTGAGGAGAGAGAGAGCGTAAGCAGGTGCGTGGCCTGACGCCACAAGCCCCCTTGCTGGGGCCTGGCTCCAGTTCGTGCAGGGCTGGGGGGGCCCACTCCACTGCCTTCAGGAGCAGAGATGGAGCCCATGATCCTGAGGGCGGTTAGAGCCGAACGGAGGTGCAGAAGTGCCCAGAACCTGTTTGCTGACTGGCCTCCCCACCCCTGGGGCTCTCCCACCCAATCTTCTCCCTGGCCCCCACCAGCCTGTCCCTCATTCCCCCCCGCGTTCCAGCTTCTACACTTCAGCCCAGCTGTGCCTGCTGCCTGGTGTCCGGGGCACATCTTGGCCCCGGCCACACCTTTCCGGCCAGAGCTGCTCCAGGCACTGGCACCGCCTCCACACCGCACTCACACCTGCCCTAGCTCTTCTGTTCTCGGGGCCTCGGTTTCCCCCTTGCGGAGCGGGGTGCACACTCACCTGGCTCAGGCTGGTCCTTGCTGGCCTCTGGGGTGGGAGTGGGGCCCAAGGCTGAGCGGAACTCTGACGCGCCTTCCTCCATACAGGCTCCCCCAAGCGGCACCACTTCCAGCGGCAGCGAGCAGCCAGCGAGAGCACAGAGCAGGAGGAGGGGGACGCCCCCCACGTGGACTTCATCCAATACATCGCCAGCGCAGGCGAGGCTGTGGCCTTCCCGCCCCCCCACCCCCTTCTGGCCAGCCCCACCAGCCCATCCCCCACTCTCGGCAGGTATTTTTCAGTAGATAGAAGTGCTAGGGGTGGACCTGTGGGCCCCAGCCCAGCCCAGTACCCCCCCACTGTCCTGGGGAGGGCTCTCCCCACCCTGCAGACGTGCGGTCACACTCCAGGCCCACCATCCCTCCCGGAGGCTGTCTCACTGGGGCCACCTCTCCAGCATGCATCACGAGAGGGAAACAGGGGGAGACGGGGTAAGGGCAGAGGGGCAGGTGGGGCCCTGGACGATGGCCCCAGGGTCCCCAAGACAGGATGCCTGCCCAGTTAGGGCTGCCAGGGGTATGTGCCTGCTTGGATGTTACCGCTTCCTGGTGGAGTCCACGGCCTGCTGGGCTCCGCTGAGGCCTGGTGCTCCTTCCCACCTGCTCATATTCCTGAGGGCTGCATGGCCCCTTCTCAGAAACTGACCCCTTCTGCCCGCAGCACCCCACTACCCCCCCAGTGGATGGGGGTGTTGGGGTGATGAAGTCCAGGTGTAGACGCTGAGTGGGACTGCACCTGGTCCAGTCCCTCCCATGCCAATCCCTTCTACACTAAGACCTTAGGAAAAAAGTAGCTTCGCAGCAGAATGTTCACTCTCTCTAGGTGAAGAGCCAGCCACAGACACTGGGAAAAGTGACCTGGTTGAAAAGCAGGTGCCAGGAAGGCTCAGGTTTACCCAGAAAACATACCCTGCAACAGGGACTGGTGGCATTTTTTTAAAAAATTCATTTTCCTCAGAGCCTGGCCAAACCTAGGGGGCCCCCGCCCATGCCCACCCTTCCGGACCCAGAGTCGGGGGGCTGGGGAGCAAATGCAGGGGCGCGCACAGCCTTCTTGACTGCTGCGGCCTGGCTTGCAGGCTAGAGGCAGCCGAGGAGGTGGGCGCCACGGGAGGAGCGAGCCCCGAGTCCCCCCCAGAGCGCAGCGGCGGTGCGGGGCCTGAGCAGCCGCAGCAGGAATCTGATGGTGAGCGGGACTCGGGGCCAGAGCAGGCCCAGACCATCTACCGGGATATCTGGAGCCTGCGAGCCTCTCTCGAGCTGCACGCCGCGGCCGCCTCGGACCACAGCAGCAGTGGCAACGACCGCGACTCGGTGCGCAGCGGAGACAGCTCGGGCTCAGGCTCCGGGACCACCGTGCCCACCTTCCCACCGCCCTCGCCGCCGCCCACGCCTCGGTCCGCGGATAGCGAGGCGGGAGGTCCGCGGAAGCTGCTTCAGATGGACAGCGGCTACGCCAGCATCGAGGGCCGCGGCGCGGGCGAGGACGGGCTCCCCAGCGCGTCCGAGAAGCGCTCTTCCTTCACCAGCGCCGGCCGCACGGCCACTGTGGGCAGCAGCTTCGAGGGGGCGCTGGCGCCCACTGAGGCGCCCGCCCGGCCCCGCAGCCCCCGCGCTTGGCCCCGCCGCGCCCCCCGCCGCGACTACAGCATCGACGAGAAGACAGACGCGCTCTTCCACGAGTTCCTGCGCCATGACCCGCACTTCGACGACGCGCTGCCCTGCGCCACCCGCCACCGCGCGCGCGCGCACCCGCACCCCCACGCCCGCAAGCAGTGGCAGCAGCGCGGCCGGCAGCACAGCGACCCCGGCGCGCGCGCCGCCACCCCCCGCCCCGCCTGCGCCCCCATTCGGCCCCGACTCCCGTCCCGCACGCGCACCTCTGCGCCGAGGCGACAGTGTCGACTGCCCGCCTGAGGGCCGCGCGGGCGATGACCCGGCTGCGCCCGCTATCCCTGTCATCGAGGAGGAGCCCGGCGGCGGCAGCGGCAGCGGCAGCTGCCCCGGCTCGGGCCTGTGCGTCGGGCCCCCGGGATCGCTGCTGGACAAGCTGGCGGCTGGCATCGACGACAGACTCTTCCCGCCGCGCCTCGCCCAGCCCATCGCCACGGCTCCTGCGCTGGCCGCCGCCGCCGCCGCGCCGACGTCTCCTGACCATAGCCCGGCCTAAGCCCTGCGTCCCGCGCCCACCTCGTCAGCTTCTCCCGCGCGGCTCGGGACCTCCGCCGCCGGACGCGCCTGGGGCGCGACGCTCCGGCGGGCACACGCCGGGGCCGCGGGGCTGCGCACAAGCACGCGCACGGCCTCTAGCCGCCCCCCAGGTGCGCATGCTCACGTCCTCGGGACGCCCTCGAGCCGCCCCCGGTGCGCCCGCGCGCAGTCCCCACCGGGCACTGAGCCGCGTCCCTCTGTGGCTCCTCAAAGTGCGGGGCTGGACCGGAGGGAGCGGGGCAGGTTCTCATCTTCGAGCCCCGGAGGACTACGTTCATCCGCCTTTGGCCCCAGACGGCAGCCTCTGGGTGGGGGCGTCTTGGGCACAGAGCACCGGGAGGCGCACGCCCAGGACCTGCACCTTGGAGAGTCCGGGTGGAGGAACAGAGTGAGGCGCTTGCGCGGGGCGCCCCTACCGACCGGGGCCAGCGGAGCCTCGAGGGGGCTCGGGCTGCACGCGCCGGAGTCTGCAGCGGGGCGCATGCGCCGAGCCCGCGGGGACCCAGACTGCGGGGGCGTGGAAGACGGGCGACGGGCGCGCTCACTCTGGGCGGGCAGGTTGGGTGGAGGCCGCAGCCGCCAAACCCCTGAAGCTGTTTACCTCAACGCGGCATGTGCTCGCGGCAGTCTGCGCCCCCTCCGAGCAATAAACCACAGCCCGCGCCGCCCCCTCCCGCCCACCGTGTCCCAAGTCTCCGCGCCCGCCCCAAGCATGTGAGTGGGCCACCTGCCCGCCCCGCACTTGCACCGTCCAAAGAGCTGCCAGAACTCATTAATGTTTGGAGACACACAAAACCCAAACGGCCAAGGTTTCAAGTTTCCCAAGCTTTATTTATTGCCAAAAGATGGGGCAGCCCTAGCCTGCGGCCGAGTCGCCCCGCCCCGCCCCGCCCCTCGGAGCTTCGTGCCGTCTGTGTACCATCCAGTGATGGAGTTTCTTGTGTTTGTTTTCTGGTTGATTATAAATATTTACTGCACACTCTTGCTTAGTCCGGGTTTTCTCTGGGGACCCAGGAGCACAGAGACCTTGGAAAGAGGGTCAGGGTCCTGCGATCAGGTAGCTCCCCGGCTGCTGCACTGTGGACTGGTGGGCCCTGGGGCTGCGCAGAGGGCCCTGCTGACCTTTGGGGAGACCGGCCACCACCGAGAGGGCTGCTGTCCAGCGTGGCCAAAGGCTGACCCCCACGGAAGCCCCAGGTCCCACCACCCGCCCACCAGACCTGCAGACCCCAGCCTGCCCCCTGGGCTGTAGGTCCACAAAGGGGGCTTGGACTCAGATCCCCTACCTGCAGGACACGGTGCCACCCAACAATGCCCAAACACCCTTCACAACCACAGCTCAAATCCACCTGCTTTATTTTTTCTTAAAAAAAAAAAAGAAAGAAAACGGAACCAACCAAACAAAAACAAGGCAGCCGCCTGGCTCCCTTGGGCTCTGGGCATGCATCTTGGTTGACAGGCCTGTTCTTCATCCCGGCTCCTGCTGTGGCTGTGGTTTGTCTGAACACATCACTAGGTGTGGGAGGCGCTAACGTGGAGCAGAGTAAAAAGAAGTCAGGGCTGGGGAGAGAACCAGTAGTCTGAACATAAAGTGCGTGGCAAGGGCTTCCCACAGGGCCCGTGAGCCGGTGTGCTCCCTCCTCCCCTGGCCAGGGGAAGGGGCTTGGCACAGGGCTGCAAAGTCAACAAGAGGTCGTGTCCACTGGCCATGAGGGGAAGGCCAGGCCCCAGACCCTGCTGTCCCCCAGCCACGGCCCTCCAAGACCCCTGGCTTCCTGAGGAGCAGTCGGCAAGGAGGCTGTGGCGGTGGCCTTCCTGGGCAGCAGCCATGGGCCAGCAGTCGGCGGGAAGACTCAGGACCTGGGCCGTGGCACCTGGCTGGGGCTCCATGAAACGGGCTGCAGACAGGAACAGACAGGTCACTCCTCGGCCAGCAAATAGGCTCTGCATCCCAGGAGGCAGGCCCCACTCTCTCTGGTCTCCTGACAGGGTGGGAAAACTGAGGCCTGCTCATATGGGGCTGTCAGACGTCCAGAGAGGCCAGGGAAGGTTGTGCTGCTTCCCGGGGTTACCCTGTAGTTCACTCTGCCCAGTGGAGTTAAGCACCAGCCTCCACAGAGGAAGCCAGGCTCCCAGCCCTCCTGGCTGGTTCTGATGCTGGCAGATAAGCACCACAGGGCCGTGGGGGCGGGGGGCAGCTCCCCGGGAGAGGGCACCTCACCTGCATCCTGAGCAGATGAGGGGATCTCCAACACCCCTGGGGCCTGATTCCCCACCACACACACCTTGGACTGGGGCAGGCAGGAGCGGGAAGAGGAAGCAGAGGGGGGCCGAGCAGCCACCAGGATGACAGCCTGGGCCAAGCTGAAGACATCCCAACCTTCCACCCACCCACACAGTGCCTCATATGTCTCTGGGCTGAGTCCAGCATCACCTGGGGCTGGCAGGACAGGCCGCCAATGTGAGGGCCCCCCTCCTGCACATGGGAACTGCTGCCCAGCCCCCACCCGACTGGCCAGTGTCCTGGGGGCAGTGGGCGCAGACTGACAGAACTGGCCCTGGTCAGCAGTGGCTGCAGCTGTGAGTTGGGCCGGGCGCTGCCAGGGCCCACAGTATGGCCCCCACCCGCTCCCACAGGCCCCCACAGCAGCCTACCTGTGGGTGGCCTCCCTCACTGCTGCTTGCAGGCCGACAGCCGGCGGATCTTGCTGCTGGCCGAGCAGGCCTTGCGAGTGGGGTTGGAGACGGCGCTGGCCCGGCGCTCCACCTTTGATTTGGTGCTCAGCTGGGCCGACTCTGTGCCATTCATGCACACCACTTTGGGTGGGCCCCGGCTCTGCCCGTTCTGACCAGCCTCCTCCTCTGGGACCTGTCCTAGGAGGGAGAGGGCGAGTGTGGGCTGATGGGGGCCCAAGACCAACACCCCTGCCCCCCCCACCCCATTCCCCAGGCCTAGGTCCTCTCCACCCAGGCACGGGGTCCTCCACCACCTGCCCCGCCTGTCCCACCTAGGTCCTGCCTGCGGGGCCCTTCATCCAGCTAGAAGGGGCAATGACCTCAGAGTCGGCTAGCCAAGGTGGGGGCCCAGCCCACGCTCATGTGCCTGCTCACGTGTGAGCCTGGCTTCTCACGCAGGTGGTTGGGCTGCCCTGCTCACCCTCCACCCCACCACACGGTGAATGACCAGGGTCCTGGGGCACAGGGCCCTATCCTGGGCCCGCTCACCCGTGTGGAGGCCAGACCTCACTGGGCCCTGTGGGGCTTGGGAGGGGCTGGGCTCAGGCAAGGTGTGCAACACTCATCTTTCCCCTGGAGGCCAGCCTCAGCTCCCCATACTGGGCACTGGATGGAGGAGAGATCAGAGCCAGGGGCCTGCTGTGCCCCTACTCACTACCAGGCAGCACCAGCCCTTGCTGGCATCCGGGGGCCACAGGCCTGGGGCTGCATGGCTGCCTGCACTCCTGTGCTCTGGGGTACAGGGGGGAGGAGGAGGGCATGCAGGGGTCGGCCAATCTGCTAGGGCCCACGTAACTCATTCAGTGCGCACGGAAAATCGGCCTCCTGCCCGTGGCCCACCCTCCTGGGACCCAGGTGGGAAGCTGCCCTCAGCTGCCTCTAGTCCACCTCTTCGCCAGCACAGAGCCCCCTCCAGCCCAACGGTCCCCGGTATCTGACTCAGCAGCTTCTGGAACTTGCCGTGAGCCACCCCCATGCACACAGGAAGCATCCTAGGTCAGAGCTCCTCACGGCTGATGGGGTCCTGCCAGGGAGAGGTCTTGAGAGGGGTCAGGCGCCCTGCTCTGATGGAGGAGGGGCCTCGCGGGCACCGAGTACTGCAGCTCTGCACAGACCACCTGGAGCCCAGCTACTGAACAGCGACTGTGGCTGGGGCGGGGGGGCAGGGTACAGGGTCTGGCCTCCTCACCCTCAAAGGACTGGAGCATCATCCACAACCGCCCACCGCCGGCCCAGGGCCCAGCACCCAGCTCTCGGTGGGAGGCAGACCCCCCCAGTGGGGACGGTCCCAGGAGACCAAGGCCAAGCAGCGGAGAGCCTCTGAGGGCGAGCCCAGCACAGGGCTGCAGTGAAGATCAGGGACTTGGCCACAGCACACCTCCCTGCTGACCAGCCGGAGTAGAGTTCTGCTGCTTCTACCGTGGACGGACCCTCTCGGGCCAGGCATCTGACCCCAGCCGGGAGAGCCCCTATCGCATGAGCCCTCCCCAACCATGAAAGGCAGCTCCTGGCCTCTCACACACGTCGTCAGTGGTCTGGCCAGGTTCTGGGGATCTGGCAGAGTCCTCACTCCACCTTGCTGGGATAGCAGATGGCCTGCCAGCGAGGGTCACTCCCAAGGACCTGACACAACAGCCCAGCACCTCTGAGAGGCCAGACACCTCTTTCCTGTTCTACATAGGGGACAGACCTCTGCAAGGCCACATCACCTCCCGGGACCCTCTACAGAAACGGCTGAGCCAAAGCCACAGCTGCCTGGGGTCCAGCAGGTGACACCTCCAAAATGGGCATCACAGACCCCCAAGCATGCCCCCTGCGTGAGTGGGATGTGTGAACCCCGCCCCAGCTCTGCCAGGAAAACAGGGCTGGGCCCATAGTGTTACTGCCCAGTGGGATGTCCCCGGGAGCCCCACCCACCACACAGGCCACCCCCAAACACCAGTTTTTCAACAACAGAAATCTAACATTTGGCAAACGAGCCAGGGAAAAGGGAGACAAGCACCACCCCCACACACACAGCCGGGCAAATCTTTATGATGGGAACCTGCGCAACTGGCCCCAGAACAGAACGGCGAACGCTGGGGGTGGGGGGTGGGGGGTGGGGCAGCTGCCCTGGCCGCCCTCAGGTACCTGGGCAGGGTCAGGGAGGGCCGGTGGGGAGTGCTGAGGCCTGGCCTCCCTGGCACAGGGTGGCACGGGGGTGGGGGGCGGGAGCAGCACTACACTACGGCCTCGAGCTCCCGTGCGCCCCCGGCCTCAGCTTCCTCTCCAGAAAGGCCTGAGCACTGACTCTTCTGGGCGCCTCTCTCCTCTCTAAGCCCTGCCTCAGACGTCTCCTCGCCACCTGAGGAAGCAAGGCGACATGTGTCAGGGCGGGCAGCCAAGCACCAGGAGGGCCACTGGACCCTCTCAGGGCCGTCAGAGGGGCTTCCCCCATCTCTCACCGCTGGCAGGACGTCACGTGCACTCCCCAGAACACAGGTGGCGCCCCCGGTTGCCTTTGCCCTCCAGGATCCCAACCTGCTTCCGTGGGGGAGGGGAGGGCCGGCCACACCCTCATGGCTGTCTGTGCCCTCGGCAGGCCCTCCAGGGTCGAGGTCAGGTTGGGGACATCGGGGACGTGAGCTCTGCCACGTAGGCAGGTGGACAGGGAGGCCAGGCCGTGAAGCTGTGCTCACCGGGCACCGTGAAGTCCTGAGTGTAGATGATGTCATCCTCAATATCGAACAGGTCCTCGTCCCCGTTGTCATCAGCACAGCCGTGCAGGTCCTCCAGGTAGGGCACCACCGTCATGCCACGCCAGCGGTCTTTGCAGTCCGTGCTCGGCGGGATGGGCACCAGCTCCTCAGCTGGCGGGTGCTTCTTCCGGAACCAGCTGTGGAAGTCAGCCAGTCAGGACGGCCTGGAGGCTCGCCCAGTTCCCTACACAGGTCTCGACCTCAGGGCCCACCCCTAATAAAATCTGTACGGGGAGGCGGAGGGCAGGCAGGAGAGGGAGGGCCAGAAAGGCCCCTGGCACCCCAGACCCCCACATCCCACCCCCACCCAACCCCATCATGCACCCCCTGCACCCCCAGAACCTCCCCATTTACTCCCACCACGAGGACCCCGACCCCCCGCAGCTGGGCCCCACACGCACACTCACCTGTGTTGTCTGATCTGCTGTATGGAGAACCTCCTGGCTGGCTCATATTCCAGCATCCCTGACGGAAGACCAGCAGGCCGTGGGGAGTCAGCGCTCAGCACGTGGCCCAGCCCTGCCCCGAGTCAGCCTGTGCATAGAGGACGCCC